GGAACCTAGGGTTCATCAGTTAATGATTTTTCAGAAAACTGAGAGACAGGAATTAGTGGAAGAAAATGGATTGATTTATAACATTGGCCAGAACTCCCTAGTTTTCTGGGAGAGAAATTTTAATCTGTTTTCATTCTGCCAAGAGAAAAGTTAATATATGTATGTATGTGAAACAAAAGCCAGGAAATATTCATATATAGATTTAGTGGGGAGCTCAAGTTATGAGAACTGAAACCTAAGTCTTCTCTAGACTTGCCACAGGCTGCCAGAGTGGGATTTCGTGGACAAACTGTGCAGTATTTCATTATGATATGTAATTGTGTCAGAAGAAACTATGCTTTGACACTCTCTCTGTTGAACTTTCTCACAGGATTCTTATGAAACTTGTAAGAACTTGGTTCCTGTACAGAATGTGGTATGCAATGTCCTTGATCACTTGGAGAAGTTATTTGGCTGGTCATTTCTATGTACACTGTTCAACAGAACAAACCTGAATGCATATCCTGGTTTAAGAGAGAGTCATAAAAGCTTGAAAACTGGTAATTCCTTCTCTCACCCCCATTCTGCAGTGAAATTTTATCTTTAAAATTTCCTTGCTTATCCTTTGTCTATCTCATACTTGTATACAATGTATCTATATCATATTGATCCCCGACAGGATTGAATATTCCACAACCCTCTCAACATGTCCCCTATGCTTTCACATTCTTTGTCTCCATCTTCTTTCTATTCCTTCTCCTCTTCATAACCTATATATGGGCAGCTCAATTAGTGCTGCCCATATATTCATAGTCAAACCCCCAAAGAGAAAAAATAACTCTCCCAGCAACCATGAGCTGCCAATAGTAACTCAGCTGTGGGTGGAGTCTCATGTGTCCATTCCCATCAGTGCTGAAGTGTCGAATGGCTTCTTCTTGTGCAGATCTTGTAGAGGTTAATCACAGCTGCTCTGTGCTCACTATTTTAGCATCATGCCGTGTCCAGAAGACCGTAGCCCGCAGCACTCCTCGCCATCCTCCAGTTCTTACATTCTTTTCACCCCTCTACTTCAATGTTCCCAAGCCTTAGGGTGAGGGATTGAGATAAATGTCCCACTTAGATAGGACAACTCTGTTTTCATTCATTCAGTCAGGATAGTTAAATTGCTTTCAGTGTCCCATCACCTGAACAGGGCAGTGTGCTCTGTCTCATCTTCTGGGCAGCCCCCCCCCAGGGCTTGGAATTTCTTTCAGGGCAGCTGTCTTCACCCTTGATTTAGCTCTCAGAGCCCTTTCTCAGTGCTTGGGCCTGGGCTGCCCCTAGGAATTCCTTTGCTCTCTGCTCATTCTTTTTCTTCCAAGGAAGCTCAGACTCTCCTCTTTGCTAGCCCCATCTCTGAAGCTCCTGAGTCTTTCTGTGACCTTATTCACCCTGCTCCAGAGGGAACACCCATCCTTCCCTGAGGTCTGTATAGTCCATGGGAACACTCCTTCCATTGAACTGAAGTAAGCTTTCACTAAACTTAATTAAGAAATCAATTACTTTTTATGATTTTTCCTTATGCCATCATTCTTAGAACCCAAGGGAGGAGCTGAGAGATGACTCAGCAATTAAAAGCATCTACTATTCTGTTTTTTGTTTGTTTGTTTGTTTTGTTTTGTTTTGTTTTTTTGAGACAGGGTTTCTCTATGTAACAGTCCTGGCTGTCCTGGAGCTCATTTTGTAGACCATGTTGGCCTTGAACTCACTGAGATCCACCCATTTCTGCCTCCTAAGTGGTGGGATTAAAGGTATGTGCCTCCCATCCAGTTAAGAGCATCTGCTATTCTTGAAGAGGACCCTAAATTTGGTTTAGTCCTGAACAAGTGAACCCAGTTAGTAACTTTATGAGATTTAACAGTCTCCTTTTAAAACTGCTTACACTTGGCTATCTGAATGGCAGTTCTTTGATTATACTTTGCTTTTGGGTGTCTGAGACCATGTACGTGACTCCCTTAGCTTTCCTCTGTCAGCCATGTCTCTGCAGGAATGGGTCAGGGCCCTGCTTCCTCTGGAAGCATAGGAAATATGTCTCTCTCAATTGTTTCTCCTCCCTGTGGAATGCACATGGATCAGAATCCAATTGCCAGAGACTCCATGACCTGTCTGATCAAGAGGCCAGGCGACTTAGCAAGACATGTCCATGAGGCACGGGCTGGCCTTGGAGTTTAAGGGTTAAAAATGGCTTTCGTTTTGCACCTCTTATCTTCACAGAAGGACAGACAGCCTTCCCAGTTTCATGATTCTAAATCATCTATAACATTAGAAGAAGTTTAGACAAACAAACAAATAAAAACAAAACATTCCTTGGTTAGGGTTTCGACTGCTGTGATAAACACCTTGAGCAAAATCGACTTGGGAGGAAAGGCTTTATTTCAGTTTATAGCTTGGAGTCTGTCATTCAAGAAAACCAGGGCAGGAACTCGAGGCAGGAACCTGGAAGCTGGAATTGATGTAGCTCCAGGGAGGGATGCTGATATTGGCTTGCTTCCACAACTTGCTCAGCCTGCTTTCTTACACACCCAGGGTCATCAGCCCAGGGGTGGTGCCACCCACATTGTCCATCCACCTGCAGGCCATGCTGGCTCTGGCACTCTCTCTGCCGATGCTCTGTCTTTCTAATAACTCTGGCTTGTGTCAAGTTGACATAAAACTAGCCACCACAAAGCAGTTTTTAAACTAAGTCCTGATTTTGCTAAGACTCACTTTTCAAAGTGATTAAAAGTCTAACAAAATTGGAAAAACACAAGCAACCACCTTGATTTGACACACATTTTTGCTGTTTAAAACAGTTATTATAAAGGTTGCTATCAGTAGATCAATATCTTCAGGGATTCTTAACAACCTTCAAAACAAGAGTTGGATTACATACAAGGTATGATGTAGCAAACTGAGGTTTTGTGTCTGTGCATGTTGTTTGATTACCAAACCTTTTGTTGTTGTTAACAAATCTCAGATTAAGTTTTTTACCACTCAGGTGAGATACATACATATCCTTGTATATATGTTTATTCATCAAGGCTCCGTGTAAGTTAACATTATTATTATGAATTGGATGGTACAGCTTAGGGAGGGAATCGTCCTCATGATAATTCACGGGTAAAAATGCCCAGTAGAATGGGGTGTTTCCATTAATAAACATATTATGTTACAGTCAGTGGGGATTTCCCCCAAATCCAATTCAACCATGCCAGATATTAGAGAGAGAGAGCAATAGCAAACATATAAAGGCATAGCAGAAGCAAAAGATGTTCAAGGGTCTGTGGTCTCGGGGGCCTTGGCTACTCAAGAATTATCCACCAGGGGGTTGCCTCCTAGTAGACCATCACCCTGAACCTCAATGCCATCAGCTACCCCCTTGACACAGCCACTGGCAATAGACTTACAGGTAAGTTTCATCAGGCTAAAATCAGGCCCTAGGAAAAATGTTTTAACCCAAAGATGTAACCTTTCCTGTGACACCAAGGTATAAATCTGTTCCAAGCTGTTTTACAGGCATCGGCAGGTTCCTGGGAAAAGAGTTCTGCTACTGTATCAAGAAATCAGTCTCTAGAGCCCCTCTTTGATCCCACCTCTCTTCAAGCCTGTATTTTACAGGTCCACTCTTCCTGCCAGACTTGTGCCAAGGCCAACACATAGGGGTGGGGGGTTTCCAGATGCACCAGTCCCTGCCCCATCTCTGAGGACACCAACAACCTGGCAAGTACCGGCAGGTTGTCTTCACCTCACATGCCTGCTTATAAAAAGCTCTGTTATCTCTTAATTCTTATCCACACCTTTACAGAATGGATGTAGAGACTCCCCACCTCCCGGAACAGCAGATGTGATGACTCAGGTTCTCCTAGATCACATCATCCCCTGATTTGACATGGCATCCCCCCAAGCTCCTGGAACACCAATGCTGATACCACCTCTCCAGGATAGATGTCTGTCCAGCAACTGGGACCCTCCCCGCTCAGGTTTTCCAAATTGTCCCAATGAAGGGCCTGCCTGCCCTTCTGCCTTGCTCAATTGTCTTTGTCAGTACAACTAGGGCACATCTCCACTCTCCCCATGGCTAGTCCCGTTCATAGGACTGGCAATAACAACCTATTTTTTCTCTTAGCAACCAGCCTTCTCCACTTCCTCAAGAAACATATGCCGGAGACCTCCAGGGTGGCAGTTAGCTGAATGCTTCTTTACCCAGCCCTCCCACTGAGCATTAGCCCACTGACTCCTGACTCCCCATTCCCACATCATCCTATGCCAACTGGAAGTAGCCATACTTTAGCCTGCACTCATCTAACCCAAGAAGAACGGAATGTTGCATTGGAAGCTCTGCCTCAGCCCCCTCCTCCCTCTCCAAACCCTGCCCCTCAGAAAGCCTGCCAAGCAAGGACTCCTCCCCCAGAGCTGCTCAAGACCGGGCCAATAGGGAATTTAAACTCCAAACCATAGACCTGCCAAGTCTCCTCCCTCCCCCCTCTGCCTCACTTCTGGGGGTTTGAGAGTCACTGGAGAGCGCTTTGCTCATCAAACCTGGACTTTTTAATTCGGCTTGATCTGCCTTAATTGGCAGAGAAACCTACTACTGGGAATACAGAAATGTTTATGTAGCTACAATGTCACATCTTGTCTGCTTCTGCGGACACACATCCTGCTAGGTCCCTGAGAGCAGGCCAGTGTAAATGCCTGAATGCTCACACTGAAAGTACCTGGAGTGCTCAACTTCTGACATGCTCACTCTGTAAACTGCAGCTTTAGACATGGAAGACATTTGTTCCTTTGTTGTGGCAGTCCGAGCAGAGGCCCGGTGTCTGCAGGGTGAATTGTCACTCCATCCATTGTGTGGTCACCACTTTTAAAGAGAAATAGCACCTTGTAGAGATTGTTGGTCCCACGCTGTTGTGTTCTGCACAGCCCTGAGAATCAGTGATGATGGCCACGCTTTCAGTTTTGAGTGAGTGAGTATATTACGTATGTAACAAGCCAAAGCAAAGGAGTAAATATAAAAACTACAAAACATTGTTAATCGTGTGGGGAAGTTGTGTAGAGATGGAGGTAGGGGGTGGTGGAGCTCCCAGTGGAATCAGGGCAGAGCAGTTAGCATCTTGGAGAGGCTTCCAGGTTGAAGAATAAACAGGATAAACAAGTACAGTATCTGTTAGAAATGGTTCATCATCTAGCTGTTCCAAAAGACAGTGTTTCCACTCTTGGCCTGTTTTGCTGGTTTCTCTATCCAGCCACTGGGTTGGAGGAGCCAAGCCATCCTTAGAAAAGATGCTTTGGAGGACATTTGGAGACAAACATACTTGGGTTTAAAATGGGGGAGGGGTACAATCCTGCTTCCAGAGTCATGTTCTCAGTGGGTTCCCTCAGCACCTGACGTTCACTACTGTGATGTGCATAGCAAGTGTTAAGTTTTACTTAGGAGGCTAACTGAACAGGAAGGGCAATACAGAAGGTGAGAAGCAGAAGTGTGGCAGGCTGTTTACACAGAAGGTTAGAGTGGATAGTGGGCTCTCTGAGCATTGCTGGAGGGATGGGTAGTGGAGAGAACAGAAGGACTATGTTAATAAAACAATGTGGTTACAAGATTGAAGTTATTTGCTTGTATCTTCAATTGAAAAAAATCCTCTTGAAAGTCTTCTCAAACAGCCCTCCTACTGTGACTCCAAGATTGTTGAACTTGTGGTTCTGAAAAGGAAGTAGGAAATCAGCTGTTAATGGGCTCGAACCTCTCTCCTCAAGGTGGCACAAAGACCCTAAGACCCGAGGTGGTGAATGATACCAAGGAAACAGCATCTTCTAGCACAAGAGAGTTCATACACATGGGAACTCACAGAGACTGTGACAGGATGCTGAAGACCTGCAGAGGTTCAAACCAGACAAAATCCCAACCCTGAGAAGAAGTAAGCACAGAGTTATACCCTAATCAAAAAGCCATTCTCAGTTGGTACCCGATGGGAAAGTGAAAATCGGTTTTCTCCATCAGAGTGTCGATGGCTATATCAACCTTTCAAGACAGGCCCCACGCTGAGGAGTAGCTGGTCCACAATAAAGCAGAGATCCACCTGCTTCTGTCTTTGTCATTTTGTTATTTGAAAGTGTGTGTACTCGTGTGTGGGTGTGTACATGTGGGTGCAGGTGCCTGAGGGATTAAGAAGAGGGTGCTGAATTCCCTGCAGGTGGAGTTGCAGGTGACCTCCCTGATGTGGGTGCTGGGGGCCTCCTTCCAAGAGCAGCAGTGAGTACTCCTAATCTTCCAGCCATCCCTCCAGCCCTGTCACAAGAACTTTTTGTCCCAGCACTAGGACATTTAGTCACTAAGAAACTTGGGGTTTTGCAATGTGAGAAATCTGATTTTCTCACTTTATAGATGAGAAATGCTGGCTGCCTTTAAAATACCCTTCTGTCCTCTGCAAGGGCGAGCATCTCTGCGGTGGGTTGCTCTCCCTGGGTGAAAGTCAGCTGTCCAGAAGTGAGCTTCCAGCGGGTCTAAGTGAGTCACTGCTGCTTGTCCGTTCTGTATCATGGGGCTTTCGGGTCCTCCCTCAGATTTGACTTTCCCCACGATCAGGACAATTATAACATCTACCTGACATGAGGAAAAGTGACTCAACTCGGGGAAAAAAAGAAAGAGAGGCTCTTACTTGATAAAATATGCTGTGATTCTGAAAGATGAGGCGCATGTCCTCCACAAAACGTTGTACAGAATGGTATGCCTTCTTTTCCAGCCTGTACTTGATTTTGTTTAGCCACATGTTCTTGAGGCCTGGAAAGTCCGCTTTATTCTGTTGTGGAAAGCAGGGGTGGGTGGGGGGGTGGGGGGTTAGGGTGTGTGTCGGGGGTGGCTGCCAGCATAGTCCTGAGTCCTTCCACATACTCCCATGGTTGTAGATTCTGAATGTTGTATCTCCACCCCCTCTAACTCATCCTAACCCCTGGTATACTGGAACTCAGAAGTAAAGGTTTTGCAATTAGTTTATGAAGGTGCAGACCCCCCACCCCCGGGATGGGGAGGCTTGTGTGTGGAATTAGTGCCCTTATTAAGACTCTGGGAAGCTCTCTCCATCTCTTTTCACCATATGAGAGAGCAGCCATCAGTGAGCCACCTGCCTCTCAGAAGACTTTTAGTCAGTTGTCATGGTACAAACCTTTAACCCCAGCATTGGGGAGGCAGAGGCAAATGAGTCTCAGTGAGTTTAAGGACAGCTTGGTCTACAGAATGAGTTCTGGGCCAGACAGAGAAACAGTGAGACCCTGCCTCAAATATGAAGTAGAAGACCCTCATTAGAACCCAGTCTTTATCTGCACCTTGGCCTAAGACCACCAGTTTCCAGAACCATAAGAAAAAAATTTATATTGTGTATACTGTCCCCAGTCTATGGTCATTTGCTATGTATGGTTACCTGCACAAAGATACCCATCAACAAAGCAACGAGAAAGATGACATGCATGGGAATAAGATCACAAGATTTCAGTTCTGTTGTTGCTACTCACTTGCTTTGGTTTGTGGATAAAAAACCTACTTTTTGAATGGCAGTACATAGTCAAGAGAAGCAGCTCACATTTCTGCAAAAGATGAAAGGCAATGGAAGGTAGCTTAGGGAGAAAAGGCCTGCCTAAATCCCAGGAGTCAATGAATGACTCCCAGACCTTTGACCTCTTTGAGACAAATATGATATGTGACTACTCTCTGAAGCATGAATTTTAGCATTGGGTCACGTGATCAAAACACATCAAGATTTACCTTGGGGCTCTGTTCCTTACCGTCTGCCAACCAAAAAGAGGGGCCTCCAACTTCACATTGACTCACCAGCTGCTTCTCAGGCAACATCCTCCACCTCAGGACCTCAGATTCCTTAAGACGTGCTTGATTTTCTTGGCATCTTAACTGATCCTTTGTCTTGCAGAAGACACAACTCCACAGGCCTCTGAGAGGTCAGGCATAAAGTGAGCAAGGACAGAGTCTGTGAACCAGACACCATCCCTGTGGCTGATAAAGACCTCTGCTCAGGCAAGTGGTTTCCACCTAGCATTCAACGTCAGTCTTGGAGGACACTGTACTGGAGCTCCATGTGGGCTCGCTATGCAAAGATAACCCCTTCAAGAGTGAATGTGCTGAATGAGTTGGTACCCAAGGATATGATAGATTTCTATTGACCTCAAAACCTGAAGTTTCCATTTGAGTATTGGGAACTTGACAGCAAGACATGTTTGGTTGTAACAGTGAATTTAGTGCCTTAAGGGGTCTTGAACCTTGATGAGCCAACCAGACAAGAGTTATAATCAGGAAACCAGAAAGCATCTCTTGCTTCTTAGCCCTGTTGAATAAGTATAGCAAAAGCTACAGGCTTTTTTTTTTTTTTTTTTTTTTTTTTTTTTTTATCTGACATTGCCAGGTCTACAGCCAGAATCTGTGTGATGGAACTTATTGGAAAGGAAATGTACTGATGGTGTCAGATATTTTTCACTTTACCCCACATGCTGGCTATTTGTATGTCAACTTGAGTCCATGGGGAAAATGCCCCAACCAGATTGGCCTGGGGGGGGGGAGTCTATGGTGCATTTTCTTGGTTGATGATTGGTGCTCACTATGATCTAGCTCACTATGGGCTGTGCCACCCATGGGCAGGTGGTCCTCGGTGCTGTAAGAAAGCAGGCTGAAGAAGCCATGGGAAACAAGCCAGCAAGCAGCACTCCTCCATGGCCTCTGCATCGGTTCCTGCCTCCAGGTTCTTGCCCTGACTTTCCTGGATGATGGCTTACAAACTGTTAGATAAAGTAAAGCCTTTCCTTCCCAAATTGCTTTTGGTGGTGGTGTTTTATTACAGCAATAAAAATCTTTACTAAGACACCCCAAGCTGCAATCATTTCAACAATCCATCTTAACAGTACCGGCCTCTCCTTGTCCATTCCCATTCAGTGGTTTTTTGTTTGTTTGTTTGTTTTTTTTGAGATGCTCCTGGTGGGTGTTATGAAAAGCTCGTGGAGGACCTTGGTGGATTCCACGGCAGGCAAGGGTGACTGAGGGGGAGGGACAAGCATGCCAGGCAGACAGAGCATAATTGAGAAGTTTTATTAGGAAGTGAAGGGTGGGGGAGGAAAGAGGCTGAGACACAGAGACAGAGAGAGGAGGGAAGAGAAGAGGGAGGCAGGAAAAGTCCTGCCTGCCCCACGGGAACAGCAGGAAGGAGAGGAGCGGGGAAGAGAGGAGCAGGGTGTTAGGAGCTGCCTGTGGGGTGGGCAGAGTGAGAGAGCTGAGTCATTTTGTGCCTGGTATCTTGTCTAACTGGTCAGAAGAAGAGGTTCCCAATAAATCACTGAGATGGTGCCCCAGAGCAGTGGGTGGGCTTACGACTCCTCCTGTCACCAGAGGGCAGTGTTCTCTTAGAGGATTGCTAATAGAGAGCAGTCCCCAGGTCACAGTAGTTCTGTCCACACCATTCCCAGAAGCCATGCAATCCCTTGTCAACCTCTCGGAGTATCCCATACTATCTCTGCCCAGAGACACAGATAAAGCAAAGGAGTGCTCTGCTGGGGGTTGGGGCTAGGGTGCTGACACACAGTTCTCATGATGTGCTCAGCAACCCAGAATCTCTAGTTTGATAGAACGCTGAAGGCTTGACACAGCCCAGCTTTATCAATTTTGCAGTTCCATAGCGGGAAGAGGAATGCATGATTAAAACCAACAACCACTATATGGTGTCATCACCCCAATGGAGCACAGAGGTGAGGCAGAGTGTAGAGTGGCCCACTTCTCTGGGTTTGGAGGCTGTCCTGGAACTCTTGTATGTAGACCAGCCTGGTCTCTGAACTCAGAGAGAGATCCACCTGCCTCTGCCTCCCGAGTGCTGGGATCACACAGTGGTGTGTGCCACCACTGCCAGGCCTCCATTAATCTTTATATTAATTTTTTTCCATTAATCTTCTGCTATGAGTGCTAGAAAACAGCTCTTGATACTTTTGGATCTTGAAACTAAGGGTCTCAAGACACATCCAACTGGAAACTGCAACCCAGCAGGATGTGGTGTGTGTGTGTGTGTGTGTGTGTGTGTGTGTGTGTGCACTAGGAAGGAAGTGTGCACTAGGAAGAAGGGTTGGGTGGGGGCAGGGCTGTCTTACTAACCTCTTGACTTCCACAGGTGGGATGTGACATCTCTTATGATAGAATTTTCTACAAATAGTACAATGGTACAACCTCCGTCGTTGGCCGCACACTGTACACTGTTTTGAATTTTCCAGCTACAAGAAGAAATGTTCCAGAAATCACCAAGAGCAGTGTGACCCCAGAATGCTAGAACACGTGGCCTTTGCCTAAGCCAAGGTGGCCCCAGAAATCTCCTTACTCCAAAGTCTATTTCAAATATTTATTTATTTTATGTGTGTCCCTGAGTGTATGCATATACACGCACCATCTTTGTGTAGGTGTCTGCAGAGGCCAGAGGTGGGAATCATATACCCTGGCCTTGGATTTGCAGGTGGCTATAAGCTGCCACGCGGGTGCTAGGAACCAAACCTGGGTCCTCTGGGAGAGCAACCAGTGCTCCTAACTATTTTATATCTCTCCAGTCCCTCTCCTCAAAATATTGAAGACTATTATTGACCAGAGATTTTAGAAAAAGGCATTCTGATATGAAATAAAGTTCAGGGAATTGCTAGGACATGTCATACTAGAAAAATTTACAATGTGAAAGTAGCAATTCTGACGTGGAAATAACACAAACACCATCACAATAGCAACAGTAACAAAAAAGACAATTAAAGATAACATGACAAGTTTTGTTGTTGTTGTTTTTGTTTTTTTGAGGCAGTGTTTCTCTGTATTATTTTTTGGAGCCTGTCCTGGAATTCACTCTGTAGACCAGGCTGACCTCAAATTCACAGAGATCCGCCTGCCTCTGCCTCCTGAGTGCTGGGACTAAAGGTGTGCGCTACCAACGCGTGGCGTCCTGACAAGTTTATTATTCAGGAAAGCCTAACTCTAAAATATAATGTCTTATTCTGGCTTAATTAATTAATTACCTAGTTAATTTCATCATTTTTTTTTTTTTTTTTAAAGATGTGGCTCATGCAGCCAGGGCTAGCTTGAGTTCTGATTCTCCTGACTCTGTTTCCAAGGTGACATTTCTAATGTTCAAAGACTGTGGTCCCAAGAACTACCTAGGGTTGAAGAACTGGTTCTATTATTAGAATGCAGGTTCTGTCCTGTGCCTTCAACTCATTTCATTTGCCACAATATTCACAGTTCCTCCCATGACCACTCTTCCTCTAGTCTTTCAGGTCTGTATTCTGGTTTTGTTTTGAGCCTCCAGCATTCACTCTCTGCTTCTCTAGGGAGATCTTTACTGTTCTGTAACCCTGTACCTGCTCCTCTTTAACAATGATCCTCTAACTTCCAATCATGTGAAGCCTGGATGTGAACCCAGACTCTGCTCTCTTCTCATCTCCAATACCAAAGCCCTACACCAGTCATGCTCATCCTAAGTTTTAAGCCTCGCCTCATGCTTGTGCTTGTGTAGGGCCTATGTCAGGGCATAGAATTCTTTACTTATGACAATATCAGCAAAGGAAAACATCTAACAAGGTAGAGCTGAAGTGAATAAAACTATAATTTGTAGTTTCTTCACCCAGACACTTACTAGGACACAAGAATTACACACAAAGTTCAAATTCTAGGCTGCAAACATGAATCTGGTTCATCGGATCTTTCTATAGGAACCTTGAATGGCCCATGAGGGACATGTTTGGAGGCATCTATCTCTAACAAGGAGCAGAGGCAGGAAACCTTGCAACAGTCCTTGCTTTTTATAATAGCAGGTGAGCCTATATTTGCTGAACACTATTTTTAGGCTGCTGGGTCAAGATTTCTGAGTCACTGCAATTGACTCCTGAGAAAGAGCAGTACACTGGCAAATCTACACAGTGTTCCATTGTCTAGAAGCCTGGAAGCTTGAGGTTTATCTTTTTTGTGTGTGTGCATGGAATCTAGGCCTAGGCAATCACTGTACCATTGAGGTACATCTCCATACACCTCCAGCCTCCTTTCAGTGGCCATCCCTCCACGGTGCTGGAGTTTGAACCCAGGGGACCTGGAGTGTGATAGACAAGCATTCTACCACTTCACCAATGAGCTATGCCCTTGCCCCTTTGGTTTTTCAGTTTTATTTTAATTTTATGTGTTTAATTTTATGTTTTTGCTTGCATGTGCATCTATATACCACTTGCAAGTCTAGGGGTGACAGAGGATAGAAGAAAAAGTCAGATTCCCTGGAATTTGAATTACAGATGGTTGCAAGCCACCATGAGGATGCTAGGTTGAATCCAGGTCCTTGGAAGGGCAACAAGTACTCTTAACTGCTGAGCCTTTCTCCAACCTCGCCCCCTCCCCTTTTAAAACAGAAAATTTGTTCTCTTATTTAGTAGTAATCATCAACATGTTATAAACTAAAATCACTCATGGAATTTAAAGGAAAAATTCCAGGCTTGAGAATGTAGTTCAATGGTAGAATGTTCACTCTAGCATGAGTGAGACTCTAGGTTTGACCCTTAACCCTGAGGGAGAAAAACAAACCAAGTATCTAGGCTCTCATCAACACCAGTTTCAATTACCGAGTCTGGCCTAGAGTCAAGCACTGGATGCTTAAACATTCTGGCGGGGGGTTCATTCTAATGCAGTCATCAAGTGAGATCTCTGCATGTGAAGCAGTGGTCCATAGACCAGAAGCCTCAGCATCCGCCTCAGTCATCCAATGAGTTATCCAGACTCCAGAGATGAGAGTTGAATGTCTTGTCTCCAGCAAAGGAACAAGAGAAGCATGGCTGTATTAAATCTGGTGCCTTCAGAGGTCAGAAGAAGGCATTGGATGTCCTGGGACTGGAGTTAAGATGGATGTGAGCTACTCTGTTGATGCTGGGAATTAACCTGATTCTTTTGGAAGAGCAGCTAGTTCTCTTAACCATTGAGCCATCTTTCCAGGCCCTAGGTTTTTTTTTTTTTAATTACACTTTATTTATGTGTGTGTATAGACATTCATGTGACACTCAGTGCAAAGGACATATGGTTGCTAGGGATTGAATTCAGTCATCAGGTTTGGCAGCAAGTACCTTTAATTCCTGAGTCATATCACCAGTCCATTGTTTTTACTATTTTTAAGGCTTGTTCCTGCCTCAATCTCAAACCTTTTAATGTTAAATGGAACACTGGCCTTTTATATTGTATAGTATTTTAAAATATCATTCACAACAATACCATATTACCAAATCATTTTTATCATAATCAGTCAAATTCCACAACTATACCATGACAGAGATGGACAATTAACAATTTGTAGATGATAGCTTCAGACATCAGGTCATGGAGTAGTTACCTTTCTCTTTGTTCGCTGTGGATTTGGTGTGTTTTTCTTCTGAAAGACAGAAGAGATCACTCATGTGATGGCTCCCAAGGTTTATTCCCATTTTTATCTCAAATATTTTGATGCTTAAACAGCCCTGGCCTCTTATACTATGCAAAATCACAAGCACTGTAGAACAAATTCAAAATTGGTTAAATCCAAATTAGTCAGTTTAAAAACCTATAAGGGTATGGTGATGGAAAACAAACAATTTGTAGACAATAGGCCCAGTCATCACAGCAGGAGGTCTTGGGATAATTACCTTTCCCTTCCTACTTGGTGGGCTTGGTAGTGCTCCCCCTCTGAAAGACAGAGATAGAGATGTTAATAATGGAGTGGGTCTTTGCTTTTGTTTATGAGCAAGGTATTTCTAACTGCCTTCTAGATATATCTGTCTGAATGTACCATCGTTAAATACAAGGTGTCTTCATGGAAATTACCCCCATGTGCCCGGACACCCCTCACCCCCCCATCCCCTCACCCCGGTAAGTCAAGGAAACATCTAGACCCTGTTCTTCTGCCCTGGTGATTTTCAGAGTGAGCTCAGGCAAGGGATGCCACTTGATGGCTCATAGCTTCCTGACACACTGACAGCTGGTTTCTCATGCTCTCCTTTCCCTGTGCAGAAAGTCCCTTTCTACACTTTATCAGAACTGTCCTCTATGATCCATCTCAGTGAAGACTGTTCCACGACAGTTTTTAATCTGAAACCCAGAAATAGCCATGCTACCCCTTAGCTGCAGAGTCGTTACCTGCAGTCATCTCCCCTCACAGTAGGACTACAGGTAGGGTATGAAGGGGCAGCCTTGCCCTCCCTGGCTAGGGGCTCACACCATACTCCTTATGGCTTTAGATGCAGCTCAGTTGATACTGGATGAGCAATTTTTTGCTTTTGTGTGTGTGTGTGTGTGTGTGTGTGTGAGAGAGAGAGAGAGAGAGAGAGAGAGAGAGAGAAAGACACAGGGAAAGGCCATCTGAGATGTGTGACAGAAAGATCAGTGTACCCTAAGTCAAAAGAAATGGTTCAGCTCCCAGGGAAACCTCCTGAGTGTCCCAATTCAGGGGTAATTATAAATGGAGAGCAAAGAACTTATTTCAAAATTGTTTTCCTGTTATTTGCTCTTGTTTTTTGAGTAGATGGAGTTGAGGAAGCTATCACTCTATAACCTAAGCTGTCCTGGAACTCACTACAGGGTCTGGACCAGCCTGGAGCTCTGAGCAGTCTCCCTATCTCAGTCTCACAGCGCTGGGATTAGAGGTTTGGCCACCACACTCAGCTATTCAAGAGCAAGTGTGTGAGACCGGGAGAAGTAGTGCAGAGCACTCTGTAACTCAGGCATCCATAGGGGCGCCTTATTTTCAGGCATGTAATCATCCATCATTTTCATCACTGACCTTCCAAGTTTAAATTATAGTTAAATTTAATTTAAATTATATCCATGCCAACAAATTTTATGTAATGAGTCAACAGTAAAGTTCAGTCCTTTCTCCTCCATCCAAAGGATGCAAGTTAGTGCATTTTAGAGGACTCAGCTGTAATGTAAACCAGCCAAGGGAACACCTGAGTGGCATGCTGGCAACCACCCATGCCATGGAACCTGGCTAAGAAGAGCCATGATGGTATCGTGGACACAGTCATTCTGCTAATAGCTGATACCAGTAAGTTATGACAGTTAAAGCTACTGGTCACACTGAAAAAGCTGCTAATCTGTTGTCTTACCCCAAAATAATGAAGCTGCCTGTCACATAGAAGCTTTTAATCCACTGTCTTACCCAGGGACCATGGAAGCCATCTGCCACCAGAATACCTCTATCAGTTCTTTCAGGGTCCATCCATAGGAACGTATGCTCTGCTTCCAGTTCTTGGATTGTTCACGCTTTCCTATGATTTCAAACTCCCTGAGAGCAAACCATTCCCCAGCCGCATTCCGTATGCTCTTAACATGGATGCCTATAAATGTAAAATGAGACTTTCTCCATCAATTTTGAAACTGCTGGGCCAGTTTTCCTCCACCCACTGCGTCCCACAGCAGCTTAAGAAATAACCACTCAGAGACTTAATATAAATTTATAATTGTTTGGCCATTGGCTTAGGCTTCTTACTGGCTAGCTCCCTCCTAATTATTAACCCATTGCTGTTAATCTGTGTATCTCCAGGCTGTGGCTTACCTAGATGATGTCCTGGTATCTTGCGTCCCATGGTGACTGTCCTTTGTCTTTCTTTCCCTGCCTTTGTTCAGAATTCCTGCCAAGCTAAATTCTGCCTGTCCATTGACTGAAATGGCTTTATTCATCAACCAATAAAAGCAACACATATGCAGCATACACAAGGACCTCCAGCATCATGTAAGAACAAGACAACCTGAGGAGCCAGCTATGAAAACACCTGCTCTTGGCCCGTCATCATTCCTGATCTGGGGCTCAGGTTTAGTCTCAGGAGGGTGTGCATTTCCCTCCCAGTCATCAGGGGCCACACATTCCTCCTGATGGGCAAAGGAAAGAAAGGACTACCTCTGAAGTTACCCTTAAAACTTGTTTTTTTTTTTTTTTTGAGGAATTCAATTATTTTATATGTACTGGTGTTTGTCTGCAAGTTTACCTGTGCACAGCATCTGTGCTTACTGCCCACAGAAGCCAGAAAAAAAAGCATTGGATGGCCTGGAACTGTAGTTATAGATGGTTGTGAGCCACTATGTGAATGCTGGGAATTGAGCCTGGGTCCTTGGGAAGAGGTCAGTGCACTTAACCACAAACACATCTCTCCAACATTTGGCATCACCTTTAAAAGCATTCTATTGTAATGTTAAAAGATAAAAAAAAAAAGAGAGTAATATCTCTAGAACATGACCAGGACTCTCTCATCCTTTTACCATGACCCAGTATAGGACCAGCTTGCATTTCAGAAAGGGGTGTGAGGGAAGAAAATTCTCTGCTAGGCTTCTGTGAATCCAGCCACAAGGAAGATGTCACCACAGCTACTTCTATGACATTCCACTTCCAGTTCATGGTGGGGGCTTATTTCTCATACTTTAGACTCATGCCATTTGATGTTAAAAGTGGTTTTAGAAATGTTATCTCCAGGGAATAGCTACATTACATGTAGGCAGTCTAATCATAGGGGAAACACTTATTACTTCTTTGTTTGTAACAAAAGAACTGTACTGGGGCCAGGGAGATGGTTCAGCGGTTAGAAGCACTTGCTCCTTTGCAGAAGAGCCAGGTTCAGTTCTCAGAGACCACACGATGGCACACAGCCATCTGTACTCCAGCTCTCATGTCCTCTTCTGGTCTCCACGGCTGCCCGGCACACTCAGTGCATAGACACATATGCAGCCAAACACTCATAGTCAGAAAATAAAAATCAACCTGAAACAGAGACCTGTGCTGTGGGAAGGGAGGACAGTCGTGACAGATGATGACCAGTGGTACTGTGACAATTGTCATTTTCACAATATTTAATGTCTGTTGTCTTTTTTTCTAATAGCAACATGGCAAGAGAGGTTTTATTCCCATTTCCTAAGGGGAAGTTCACATCTGAGAGACTGATGCAGACGACAGAGAAACTGACTTGTGCTTGAGCTGTGGTCTGAGCGCATCGCCTCCAGGGTTCAAATGTTGAAAACCTGGTGCCTGACATCGTGGTGTGTGAGGTGGCATTACAGCATCGAGGGTGCTGCCTTGGGGTTAAGATAGTTCTCCTGGGACTGTCTGGCCTCCTGTCTTATGATGACATCTCTTCCTCCTACATGGCATGCCCCTGCCAGGATGCCACCTGCCGCCAGTCTCTCGCCAAAGGCCAATATATGAGGCTGCCTGATCTTGGCCTTTTAGCCTCTAAGTTTACGGAGTAGCCTGACTTGGATTTTCAATAGAGCAAAGAACACTGGACTAATACAACAAGAAAGCTGAAGTTTGAGTGCATTCAAATTCCAATTCAAAATCCTGTTTTTTCTTACTTAGCCTAAAGTTTGGCAGAGGTTACAGCTAATGGACCCACAAGGTTTAGTGCTGACTTTCTCAGGCATATCATTTCCCATTCAAGTGTGCTAGTGCTTACTCTGGTGTGAGATGCTAAGTGGGCATCTCATTGGCCTTTTCACGGTGGGAAGAGGAGGCTACGTATGGATGTGCGATATTTAAATACACACAACTGCAGCTTTGGGCACAGCTCAGTGATAGAGTGTTTGCTTCACATATGCAAGGCCCTGGGTTTAATCCCAGTGCTACAGGAGAGAGGCAAAGAAAGAAAAACATGGGAAATGCCCTCATTCCTGCTGTCTTCCTGGGGTTTGGTGAAGAAAACAACAAACATGATAGGGCCGAGGCTCTCCCGAGAAATACCATCAGGCATAGTCAGCCTTTGGCTGGAGTCTGCGAATGTGCCTTTGGGGAGAGAGAGGTCCTGTCATTCTCAGAAACACAAGAGTAATATCTCCATGCTGAAAGTATTTACAAACAGTTCAATTCACACACAAGACCTGCTTTCCTCATGGGTAGCTGGATTTGGTGTGCGCTATGGAGAGAGGTACCTACATAACTCATTGCTGGTAGAAGCCCTTGGAAGAAAACCTTCCACACTTTTGTACCTGGGGTAATTAGTTGCACTCAGTGTGTCCCCACTAGGAGCGTAATATCAAAGGTTTCTGGGTCCTCTGGGCTTGTCCTCATGCCCCCTTCTCATCGTTAACCTGGCCTCTCTTTAGCTTCAGTAATGGGGGTAACATTGCCTGTATCCCAAGGTCGCAAACTAGGTCTGGGATGAGACACTCCCAACACAGGAGCCCAATCCCTACATGGTGCCATTTTCCAGGCGAAGAGCACATAAGGTTTAGAAACTCACCTTCCTCAAATTTATTTTTATACAGAATCCCCTTAGCAATACCACAGGTCACCGGAAGCTCAGGGCTGCTGAAATCCACATTGTGTTGTCTGGGAATTCTCGGACCTGCAGGGACACATTCACTTTATTCTAGAACTGTGCACCACCTTTCCTCCACCCACTTCAGTTTCTGCAGCTAAAAATGCACTGGGTTTTCCCATGAGGGTGTTTACATTTAAACATCATGGTACTGAAATGGAATCTGTTATAAGTCAGGTAAAGCATGGATGACACTGGACGGTGGGAAGCATGAGGAGAGGGTAGGGGTGACAATGAGTTAGCCCAAAACGGCTGACACCAGATGTCGTCCGGAGACCCCAAAGTAAATAGTGATGTCATCTCTTAGATAATGAGTTCTGACAGAGTGCTACTTTTGTGTGGTCTGTATCAATATGGCTTTGAGGTCATCTTTACCTACTTGCCTGCCTGTGTATGTCTATATGTAGTCCTTATGCCTTCCTTCACTCAGTCTGCCTGCCTGTGTGCCGCACATGCCTGGGTGCCTGCTGGTGCCTAGCAGCCCGGGTGCTAGTGCATAAGTATGTCTGTCTCATTTGCCTGCAGCTTGTCAAACCCTTTCCAATATTCCAGCCTTCCAAGGCCATCCTCTTCCTGGCATCAGAGCATGACTCCCAGAGTGCATGGATCCAGTTCCATTGAACCAGTTGCTGAAGGCCTTACAATGAACTTCCATAGTGGTGGCTCTGCCCTCCCAGCCAGTTCAGAGATCTATCAAAGACACAGGGGCTGTGGTAACATGGATGGAGAATTCCAAGGTCGCTTCAGTGCAGTCTATCAAAGCAACAGTGGCCCTGGCAGGTGTCTGTGTGCAGGTACCAGATATTGGAGTTACAGGAAGTTATGAGCTGCCATGTAGGTGCTTGGAATTGAACCGGGATCCTCTGAAAGTGCAGTCAGTGCTCTTAACCACTGAGCCATCTTCCCCCAGCCCCCTCCTATATCCCATCTTTACAGAGAGATAAATTGAGTTAGAAAAGGGCAAACAACAGGCTAAAGGCACACAGGATTTTAGGAATTAGAGCACTGGTCTTGTATTGCCATCAAGATCTGTGTGTTTCTGTGGCTTTCCATGTGGACATGGAAAAGGTATGGTAGATATCATGTGGATCACATACTTTACCTTCTCCCTCGAGAGTGGTCAGCACATGAGGACATATGCAGTTCTGGATCCCTCCCAAATCAACTAACTAATCTGGGTTGGGAGTTATCAGCAATCTGTATTGCTGTTGAAATTGACCAGTACTGATGATGATCTTAAGATTTGTTAGTGCTTTCAACAGCAAATCAGAAAACTAGTTTGTCACTCACCAAACAGAGTGCATAGTAAGAACTTCATCAACATTTGTTGCAGCACTCTGTGAACCGCCTGAGGTGCCCACCATGGAGGAGTAGGGAGAGAAGCTGATTTGTGTACACAGTGGTGTTTTATTCAGCCATAAGAAATCATAATTATGACATTTGCAGGAAAATGGATACAACTGGAGATCATTATATTAAAGAAACTAAGTGAGCCTCAGAAAGACAAAGGCATGTTTGCTCTCATCTTTGGCTCTTACAAATTTGTACAGAGACACAGATAACAAAAAGTAGGAGCAAATTTGTCTAGGAGACACAGAGGACCAAAGGGAACGGGAGTGGAGGGCCAGTGGTACTGGTGGAATATGATCAAAGGACACTTCTTATTTGTATAGAAATGACTTATTTGTATAGAAATAAAAACAAACAAACAAACAAAAAACCCCAAACTAGGGCTAGGCATGGTGGCCATGGCTTTAATCCTAACACCCAGAAATCAGTGGCAGATGGATCTATGAGTTCAAGGTAAGATTCTTTTACATAGTGAGTTCCAGGCCAGCCAGGTTTGCATAGTGAAACCCTGGGTCAAGAACACTTAATATTTGTATTCATTGCTGGGTGTTGGTGATGCACGCCTTTAATCCCAGCACTTGGGAGCCAGAGGCAGGCAGATATCTGTGAGTCTGTGGCCAACCTGGTCTACACAGTGAGTTCCAGGACAAGTGCCAAAGCAATACAGAGAAACCCTGTCTCGAAAAACCAAAAAAGATTAAAAAGAAAAAAAAAAAAAGATTCTTATTCTTAAGAGTTGATAAATCACATTTTTGTTTACCTCTTTTTGTGCCTCTTTGTGAAGAAGAGTTGATACGCCTCAGTGTGTAACCTGCGTAAACATCACACAAGTCTCTTATTTATAACACCACATTGCAAGCAACATTTGACAAAAAACACCATTGAAAACTAACTTTCCTGAAGTCTGCTTAGGCCACATCCAAGGTCTTGTGGTCCATGATTTCCTTCATAATTCCTCAGATTTTTCAGTCATATTAGGAAGCATCCACAGACTATATGTAAATAAAATGATGTGTTCTAGTAAAACTATATTTATAAATAACCAGCAAGCTAGGTTTTCCCTCTGGGCTGTAGTTTGCTGACTTCTGTTCTAGATTTAATTATAAAAGATGGTAATTAGCAGAGATTATGTGTTGACTAGCTATAACACGCACCAAAAGAAGTCATTTCATGATTAAGACTATAATGGCCAAATCTACTGAATGTTAAAGTTGGGGAAGGCTGTTTGTTCCTTCTCAGACTGTGTCCACAACTGGCATCACAAGGCAATGCTTTAGGTAGTGTAGACCCTGGAATAAAACTTCCATGTACACAGTCAGAAGTGCCCCTTCCTTTGATCAATTCATGTCTAGCTAGTACTGGGAAAGAATTTTGCCTTAGTGAAATGTAAGGAATTCTTGAGATCAGTTATATTTCATTTTCTGGGTCTTGGTCATAACAGTTACTCAGAGCCTTAAAAAAAAAAAATCCCTGTTGAGATATGAATGGCCCCATGAAATCTACTGATTTTTTGTTTGTTTGTTTGTTTTTGTTTTGTTTTTTTTTTTCAAAACAGAGTTTCCCTGTGTAGCTTTGGAGCCTGTCCTGGAACTAGCTCTTGTAGACCAGGCTGGTCTCGAACTCACAGAGATCCACAAGCCTCTGCCTCCCAAGTGCTGGGATTAAAGACGTGGACCACCACTGCCAGGCTCCTGTTGATAGATTGATACAAGGTTTCGCTGTGCAACCAAGGTTGGCCTCAAGCTTGCAATCCTCATGTCTCTGCCATCTTAGTCCTGAGATTTGCAAAGGTGAGCCACTCACCCAGCCCATGAGGTATGTATTGATGAGTGGCATCCTCAAAACTGGAGTGTTGCGCCTCACCCATTACCCTTAGTGAGCTAATTAAGATACCATGGAGATATAAGGAATGAGAGTTTCCTAGATTTGCATAAAAGAAGAATCACCTTGTTTTTTAACCATGTTTCATGAAGCAGGTAAAATAGGAGGAAATGAACATGTCAAAGACATAGGTAAATCTTTCTTACCACCTCTTGTTTGTTCCCCAGAACAAATTAATTGATCAGTGTCCAAGAATGTGATTGGACCAAATTTGGCAATAGCTGTGTGGTGGGTGGGGGTGATGGGTTATTCACACTGGGAAAGTGCTCAGTGAGAGACACCACCAATCAGGATGCTGAAGTTCTAGATATGTCCAGGAAAACTCCCTTCTCCCTCCTTCCTTCCCTCTACCCCATGGTCCCACTGGGAGCCACCTGTGTTCTGGCTGCTCTTTCTATTCACATAAAGTGACCAAGCTGGAACCAGGTCTTGGCTGTAGCCCCAGTGTATTCCAGAACAGCTCAAGATGAGTTGTGTGGGTTCTGCTCTCAGTTTCTCTCGGTTTAGACCTTCTTGGACTTGCGAGCTAGCTAGTCCTCCTTTTAATCAAAACCAATTGAAGGCAAATAACTTAAAGGCAAAGAAACAGAAAACATTTCACTCTGTCCCAGATCACATGTGCTGGTGGTCTGGCTCCTACTCCCTGCTGCTATACTGCACTTGGGAAGTAAAATGCCTGGGTGGAAGTAGGGCTTAACTATTCTTGGCTCATCTACTCATAATAGTCACCTAATAGTACTAAAACTGTAAGCAACCGCTTAAAATACTAATTCAGTTACAACCACCACATGCTATTCGAAATAATTTTGTTAATAGTACTCATCATTCTAAGAGAGAGAGGTTTTCAGGGTATGAATCTTAGGCTTTCTCTGAATATCAGCAGGTGTCTGGATGTCTATGAACAGTGTTATAGGATCCCAAATCTTGGATCAAGGCTCTTGTGTAAGCATGCTGCACAGAGCAAAACAGAGCATAGAAGGGGACAAGGAGTATGGTCCTGCTGACATTAACCTTCCCTACTCCAGGCCTCTGGAAAAAGTTTCTTTTCTATTCTCTTTTTGTTGTGGTGGTTTCTTTATTTGTTGCGATAGGGTCTCACTTTATAGCCCTGTGGCCTAGGAGAGAGGGTACATTTCTCCGAACATAGTTGTCAGACATTTCCTTCAAGTCAAGCCAAAGGTTTGACATGACCAACACAGGAGACAGGTCTCTGGAGAAGCCAGAGAAAGAGAGGCTATCAGACTCACTTCTAAGTCATGTAAAGATGAAGGTTGTGGCTAGAGGGGGTCAGTGGTGGCTGGTGGTTGGGCTGAGAGTCAGCAAGGGAATTTATGAAGAAACACCATTGAGTAACCCGGAAGGAACTCTGGAGATGGGAAACTTGATGGGTGTATTTGGGAGATATGCTGCCCAAAGTGATAGCACTAAGCTCTTGATCTTCTAGAAGGATCATTTGATGTCTTAATTTCAAAGCAAGTCAGTCACTACCAACACTGGGCACTGTTTCTGCTATACTAATAGGAAATTTATGGCCAGACACATACGTGCATTTGCACATACAGACACATATAATGAGATAGCAGGTTGCGTGGAGGAAGAGGGGGAAAGGTAAAGAGATTGAGGGAGAGGCAGGAAGGGGAGGGAGAAAAGAAGGAAGGGGGTGAGGGAGAGAGAACGAACACTCATTTTAGAATACTGATTCGGTAACTTGTCATATTTGAATCAGAGTCTAAGGGGAGACTGTGGTCTCAGTGGAGCAGACTCCTGTCTCCTCTGTGCTCAATTCACTCTCTTCACAGCACTTTTCTGTGTCTGAAAGAGAAGCTCAGGCAAACAGTAGGATCACTTGCAAATTGCACAGGTGACTTGCAATTTATAGAACGCATGCGGTGGGGGAAGAAGTGAGGGTCTGAGGAGCTGACAGTTGTACAGGTCTTCAGATGGACCACAAAAGGACTAGTTCTTCCTGTTCTAGACAGTTAACCCAGGAGCCAGGGAAGATGCCCACAGGTCGGAGAGGCAGCTATCCATGGTGCTTACCAAATTGCACGGGAAGTTATGGACTGTAAAGTCACCCAAAGAGTTACTTAACTTTACAGACAGTCCAACTGAGGCAGAAGGGAAGAAGTGACAGACTCGGGTCTGTACAGTGACCTCGTGGGGTTGATTCAGAGGCGGGGCAGTTGTGTAATTTGTCACTCACAGGTGTTCATTCTGTTTTGCTGTGCTGCTTTTTCTGCTATTGAAAGTTCAGTAGAGGCTGTAGTGACCTTGTATGACCATAGACACATCAAGTCACTTGTCTGTGGGGCTGCCATTTTTTGTCCTTTTCCCCAACATACTTTGAAAACTGACAAAATTGGTTATATTTCTCAACAGTTACCATGGCTACAACGAGCAGTCAGAGAAATGGATTAACCTTTTATGAAGCTTGTGTTCATGGGGATTTTGATGTTCTGAATTAGGCATTTTCCATGTCTTTCTTTTTCTCTGAGAAAGTAGGAAACAAAAACAGATACTTCTAAAAGGTTGCAATGTACACAAGAGTGCTTTTCAGACTTCCCATGTTACTGTAACTTGTAAAAAGTTTAGAACATAGTAAAAGATATACAGCCCATAGCTTTGTAATTACCATGTCTTTGTTAATTATCCTGATGTTTTGGCATTGTGTCAACTTGACTCAAGCTAGAGTCAGCAGAGAGGAGAGAGCTTCAATAGAGAAAATGCCCTCATAAGATCAGGCTGTAGACAAGCCTGTAGGGTATTTTCTTCATTAGTGATTGATGTGGGATGGTCCAGCCCATGTGGGTGGTGCCATCCCTGGGCTGGCAGTCGTGGGTTCTATGAGAAAGCAGACAAAGCAAACTATGATCAATAAGCCAGTAAGCAGTGCTTCTCCATGGCCTCTGCATCAGCTCCTGCCTCCAGGTTCCTGCTCTCACTGCTTTTGATGACGAACTGCTACATGGAAATGTGAGCATAATATACTTTTCCCTCACCAAGTTGCTTTTGGTCATAGTATTTCATCACAGCAATAGTAACCCAAACTAAGATACTCAGGATTACCCTGAATGTCATTTTCTTGGTCTTGACATTGATTCAGTTAATTTACTCTCATGTTATACTAAAAATTAACCCCAGGCAGTTTTGTTTGTATCCCAAGGGTCACTGTGAAGATAATAATAATGATGAGAATTAACACGTTAGCACTGGCTGATTGCAGGACATCGATATGAGACTGTCATGGTTTGGACTTTAAATGTCCCCAAAGACTTGTGTGCTGGCAGCTTGTTGTCTAATTGATAGAATTTCTGAGAGTGGTGGAAACTTTTAGGAGTCAGGATGAGTAGAAGTCATGTCTCTGAGACAGGGAGTCTTTGCCAGGGAAACAGCACTGACTTCATCCCAATCTCCACTATGTGCATTTTAGTTTTAAGATCCCATCAGCTCAGGCTTTTTAATATCAAGTGTGGGCCAAGCACAGCTCCAGGGTTTACCCATGGTTTCATCTGTGCAAGAACAGAACTTTGAGAGCACCAGGTTTGGAAAGGAACAAATGTGGTTTCTGTTTACTTACTGATCTGTCTCAGTGATTTTAATAAGGCACATCCTCCTGCCTCAGTCTCCCAAGAGGGAGTGGGTGTTGTAGTTTGAATGTAATTGGCCCCCATAAGCTCACAGGGAATGTCACTATTAGGAGGTGTGGCCTTGTTGGAGGAAGCATGTCACTGTGAGAGTGGGCTTTGAAGTTTACCTGTGTTCAAGTTATACCTTCAGACCACTTCCTGTTGCCTATGGGTCTAGATGTAGGAATCTCATCTCCTTCTCCAGCACCATGTCTGCCTGCATATCACCATGTCCCTTCATGATAGTAATGGGATAACCCTCTGATGAAGTCTACCGTTTGAAATTGTGATCCAGTAGGTAAAAATACAAGTGAAAGGAAGGCCACAAGTTTGAGGTCAACCTGGGCTACACAAACAAGCTTGCCCCAAGGAGAACAGACACACAGAATGAGAGTCCTCATTGAACTGTTGAGACAATTGTTCATATTTTGTAATTAGCTCAAGATATGAAAAAAGGCTTAAACAGCATGGATGAGAGGCTGTCATAGGAAAATAAATCTGTTTACCATCTATTTGTCTATATCTATCCATCCTCCTCCATCTCTGCTCTCAATTTAGGGGCTGTATTCATGTCAATCTTTGTCTTTATCTCTGTTTCCATCATATCTGTTATTTCACCTCACAGATTACTATCATAGTAACCAACGCCAGCTGAAGACTGACACTGAATACACAACCATCTCTGCCAGCTTTGCCAGCTCCCCGTGCTAATTCTGTGCTGCACACCTGTCAGTCTCAGACTTTATCTCCCTGTTTCCAGGATAATAGAGAGGTACACCTTTCCTATTCTTTCTCTTTATACCACCTCCATATATGTTATATTCATGCATGTGCATGGAGAGAGAGAGACTGGGCCTGGCTTGAGCATCTGAAACACCCCAAGTGACATATACTTCCTCCAACAAGGCCACAGCCACCCCAACACATGTAAAATATTATATTATGTGATATATATCAAGGATCTGTGTGAGTGCATGTATGCTGGAGGATATATATGAGATTGGATTGCATGTTGAGAACAGGGGACAACCTTGGGTGACATTCTGCAGTCATATACTCCTCCTTTCAGAACAGAATCTTTCATTTGCCTTGGACTTGCCATGTAAGAGAACATGGCTGAGCAGTGAGCCCCAGGGATCCTCCCATCTCCACCCCCTCTGAGCTGGGGTTATATGCATATAGCACAGTTTTTTTTCCAAACAAGGTTTTGGGGATCAAATTCAGGAACTTGCAAGCATTTTATCAACTGAACCTTATCCCTAGCGCTCTCTCTCTCTCTCTCTCTCTCTCTCTCTCTCTCTCTCTCTCTCTCTCTCTCGTGTGTGTGTGTGTGTGTGTGTGTGTGTTAATGTATGTGCACATACACAATGAGGCCAGAAGTTGACACTGGTGTGCTCCATCATTTTCCACATTATTTATTGATGTGTGGTCTCTCAATTAACTGAGGAACTTGCCTGATTTAGTTAGTCTAGCTAGCCATTTTGTCCAGCAGAGCCCATCTCTGCCTCCCATACAGTGCCACACATACCTGGCTTTAATATTGTTGATAATAATATGAACACTAGTTCTCACAGCACTTTAATCCACTGAGCCATCTCCCTATCCCCTTAGATTTTTTAAAGAAATGTTATTAAATATGTTTTATTGGTTATATAAGGTTGGGAAACATTATACTGAATGTTCTGGGTTCCCGACTACCTCTTTGGATTCTGACCATGGAAACACTGGTTTCTTCCTCCTATTATACACAATAGCCTTTGAGTGAGAAACACATGGGTTGCTAGATCTCAATCTTTTTTAAAAAAAAAAAACTCTTACACATTTATATACTACTTTCCTCTACACAAAGTGGGAATAGCAAGAGATAGTCTGCCTGAATCTTAAGGCTGTTATGATCTTGCCAAAAATACATTGAGATAACATGATATAATCTAACTAGGTAGTGAAGGCTATCTATCAAAAAACTATGCTAAATTTGGTAATGGTTGGTCTGAAACTTTTATTGTGTCTATAATTACAATGTTTGGCTTGTTGTATTTTGCATCTTTTACAATTACAAATGACCTTAGGAACATAAGATCTTTGTGTTAGTAGTATCTTAGTCCGTGTTCTATTGCTATGAAGAGAAACCATGACCATGGCAACTTTTATAATGAAAAACATTTAATTGGGGCTGGCTTACACTTTCAGAAGTTTAGCCCATTGTCATCATGGCAGAAAGCATGGCAGCACACAGGCAGACATGATGCTGGAGAAGCAGCTAAAAAGTTTTACATCCAGATTGGCAGTCAGCAGGAAGAGAGAGAGAGACTAGGCCTGGCTTGAGCATTTGAAACATTAAAGCCCACTCCCCAATGACATACTTCCTGCAACAAGGCAACACCCATGCCAACAAGGGCACACCTCTAATCCCTAATCCTAATAACCAAGCATTCAAATATAAGAGACTATGGGAACCATTCCTATTCAAACAACCACAGTAGGCATGAGATTGAGTGTAAAAATATATACCATTATTTTGCTATTTATTTCTGTAACATCAGCAATATATAAGTATGTACATTTAGTTGATAGGATGCAGCCTGTTAAACATGAGTTCATAGTCATTTCCTGTCTCCTACACTTTCTAAAATTAAAACGGAGCTTCAAGGATAGCTGAAGGATACACAGCAGCAATGACACTTAGGATAAAATGCATCTAGTCACAGTGACTTTCAGTCATCAGATGGCTGACATCCTGCAGACCAAGGCTGGGCATCCTAATCTTCTACACCTGATCCACTTCATAGGTATTCCTGAGATTCCTCCAAAGCACTCATTTCAGAAGAGGAGCTACTGTATACTCCTGCAGGAAGAAGGAAAAGTCCTGACAGTTCCAGTCTTAGGAACCAATCTGGCAAGATTCTTGATTGGCAAAGAGGGCTGGGGAAATGGCTCCATCAGTAAAGTGTTTGCCACTAAACATAAGGACCTGAGTTCAGATCCCCAATACAGCAGTGAGCATCTCACCAGCCACCCTCATGTATCAGTTAGTTCCAGGTTCAATGAGATGCCCTTGTCTCAAAATCTGAGGTAGAGAGATTAAACATGATATTTAAAATCAACTCCTGGCCTCTACACAAGCAAGGAACACACACTTGCAAACAGCAACCTGCATCAGTGTGTGGGAAGGCTCTAGGATGGATGGGGAGGAACAGTCCTGCCAGCCTGTGATGGAAAGGGATGGGTAGGGATTGGGATAATCCTGCAGCCTATGTGGGAAGGATAGGACAAACCTGCAACCTACTGGGGAGGCAAAAAGACAATCCTGTCAGCAGGCCAACCTTGCCTTTATCTGAGCTGTCAGTTAAACTTGTTCCAGAACTGTCCCTAGTGCTGGGGCTGAGGCCAACTTTGCTATGGTGGTCACTCTCTTCTGTGATCATTTCTTAGATCTCATGCCCTTTCTGAGATTTATTGTGCATGGTGGGTGACAAAACCAGTCTTTAAGATCTCAGGGCCCTAGATCATGTGAAACAAAGTGAACTCTCCACGCAGGATCAACTCCATCCTTTTTTCTTGGGTGAAAAGTAAGCTTGTACTTATTGAATATCTTGAGACCTGTGTGCCATACCCAAATAGCTTAAACTCACCTGAACCAAAATGCTCTATGTGAATGGTCTAATATCCCAGGCTAATGCTTTTTCACTCTGAAGGATATTAACTAAACTTTAGTTACAGAGGACATGGCTTCTTCTAGGTATGGTTGAGGAGGAGGAGGCTTATTATACAAGGAAGATATTATGGAATAATCTTTTTTTTTTTTGTACACCGTGAAGATATGTCTTTGCCAAGGTACCTTTTGACTGGTTTAATAAAAGTTTTGACTGGCCGGTAGCTAGGCAGGAGGTATAGATGGAACAGCCAGACAGCCAGACAGCCAGACAGCCAGACAGCCAGACAGCCAGACAGCCAGACACAGGATGCTGGGAGGGAGAAGGGCAGAGCCTCAAAAGTTGAGGGAGATGCACAGCCACATTGCAAAGGGTGAATAAAAAATATGGGTTGATTTAAATGTAAAAATTAGCTGGTAACCAGCCTGAGCTATTGGGCCAGCATTATATTTATAAGTTTCTGAATGGTCATTTGCTGAGACACAGAGAAACTCTGCCTACAGGAAGAAAACAGCTAGAAGCATCTGGAAGGGTCCAGACTGAACCAAGTCATGGGGTTGGGGTAGGGTGGGGATGGGTGGAGATCCAGAAGTAGAGTCAAGCAGTGGCCAAGAGACCAAGAGAGCAAGAGACCGAGTGCCCAAGATGGCTAAGCTTACATAGAATCAGAAGCTTGGGGGGGGGGGGGGGCGAGGAAAGGAGGCGAGACGGCCTGGGAGGAGCCACAGGTCCTGAGTGAGACTTGTCCTGGGTTTCTTTGAGACAGTGTAGATTTCTTTTTATTTAAAAAAAAAATGTCCAGATGAGAGAATGGTTTCCCAGGTGGCCGGTGGTATGCTGTGCTGTGTGGTCAGAATAAACCACAGCAGAGAGCTTTCAGACTCTGATGTCCTAGAGTGGAGATGAGCCAGCCTTATGCTTTCCCCCGAGCTCACTGCTCAGTACTGAGCTCCAGGATTCTGAAAGAATCACTTTCTTTCTTTCTTTTTAGTCTAGTTTGTTTGTTTCCAAGATAAGTTTGGCTGTCCTGGAACTTATTCTGTAGATTAGGGTAAAAAGTTGAACTTCTATTAAATATTAAAAGGCATTTACTATGTGAAATCACTAACTCCTTTGGATTCATCCATTATAGCAGTTACCCTGCCTGATCAATATAAAAGCAAAGGAGTAATTACCTAAACTGAAAAGCAAATTTGTGTTGTATTTTGAAATCTAGAGCCTACAAGAGTGAATCTCTTGTTGAACACACAGTTCATCTGTCTTGAGGAGTCCACATTTTCTCTTACCTCTTCTCCTGAGTGTTTTTCTGAATGTGAAAGTTTTCCTGGAATCCACAGACTCTGTAAGATAGAAGGGAGAAAAACCATTATTTGTACTCAGAGTCAAGTTCTGTGACTTCTACATCAAATGAGCCTGTGGTCCTAGGACAGTCTGAAAGAATGCTCCTCTTCTATTGAATCTGGTTCCAGAGACTGGGACCTATCCTGGATTGTTTTTCAGTTTTTTTATGGACATAGGTACATGGCTCTTGAGCACCGGTAACTCTGGTTCTCTCATGTATAAATGAGCAATAACCTAGTTACCATGCCTCCCTGTTAAGGTTCTGTGATGGCCACATACTACTTTCTTCTTTAAAATCCATTTTAAAAGGTATGCCAACATCCTAACCATAATTTTACCAGGTATCTGCACTTGCTTTAAAAATAAAGGATTTATGGTAACTTTTTTATTTTAGACATGATTGTTGGCATGTATGTTCATCACATGCATGCTTGGTGCCCTCAGAGGTCAAAAGCGGATGTCAGCTCTGAAGAGAGAGTTAGAGTTGTGAGTCATCTGATGTGAGTGCTGGGAACCAAACCATGACTCCTCTGCAAAATCGGCTGATGCTTCTAACTGCTGAGCCAACTCTCCAGCCCTTAGGTCAATTTTATCTGCTTAATATGTAATAGCACAGATTATTCTTTGTAGACTTTCTAGGCTAATGACAGATAACAGTATTATCAATGAACCGAGTAACTTCATCCTTAGTGTTCTCTGTAAACTATGAAGCCAAGGCAGAGACTAAATGCCCCCGTTTTAACTCTAGCATTAATAGATACAATGCCATGGAGTAAACAGTGTCCTTTTCCTAGTATATTTTTGCTATATTTAATTTTATCTCTTAATTAGGTTTGTCCAGATAAACTATTCTGTGATGACTGATGGGAGATGTCAGCAGGGAAAAACTACTCATAACAGATGACTTTTGACTTTTCAGGCCAGAGAAGAAAAATGCAAGAAGTGGTACCCTAGAGCTGCTGAATCAAGGCTTGTGGAGAATGCTTGGATTACAGTTCGGGACATTACAGTTCAATTTGGACATCGCATAGTCCAGAAGTTGCAATTCTAACCATCTTAACTGGTAATCCACTGTCTTGAGTACAAGGCTGCTAAGGACCCTTTCCTCCCTTTGATTCTAGCATGCCAAGGAGATTGACTACTGTACAAAATAGTACACTTCCTTGGAATCCCCTGGTTGTGAGCAAGAAACTAATTCAGCAGGAAATTCCCTAATAGGAAATTTTAGAAGTACTCTGAAACCTCTTAAAAAGCCTGTCCCCATCCAGACCACATGAGTCTGCCTTTTTAAATTACCAAAACAGTAGGCTAGTGAAACTCCATTTTGATCCCCAAGGCAGATGCAATTTACTGGTGAGGGGCTGCCTGACATCACTTGGCCTTTTTTTCTCTGAGACTTTCTTACACCTCCCACTCATCTTTCTGAATTCCCAGCATCTTTGCCCTTGTGTATCTTTTAGGGAAACCTTGAAAGTCTTATGCTGAAGAGCCTGAGGAGATAGTTCAGTTGGTAAAGTTCTTGACACACAAGCATGAAGACCTGGGTTGGATCTCTACAACCCATGGTGGCTCACACCTATAATCCCAGAGCTAGACAGGAGGTGGGGCATCAGTGAGACTCACTGGCCCGCCAGTGTAGGCTAATCAATGAGATCTAGCCCCCATGAGAGACCCTCTCAAAAAAACAAGGTGAATGTCTCTTTAAGAGCTATGCCTGATATTGACATCCAGCCTCTACAAATACACATGGACATGATGTTTGTGCATGCACCTAGGCATGCAAACATGCACGCACACACACACACACACCTACCTGTTTCTATCATATTAACAATGGCTGTCTATATCAAATAATAGAATCCATTGATTGACAAGATTGATCCCCACACTGTATGCAACAATTTCCCTGCAATTCCCAAAGACCAAGTAAAACTGAATGCACAGAACAGGTCCCAGGGCTCCATCACACAGAACAGACGTGGAACAAAACCCATCATGAAATAATGGCTTGAGATTCAGATGCCCACAGCCTGTCTTGCTTTCTGGGCTTCCTTACTTGACTGGCAGATGACTGGGGTGGATTCTTCCCAGCAGTTGCTTCCATCATTGGAATCCTCGCTGCTGAGGACTGCACAAAGAAAAGAATGTCTTTAAGCATCTTAGTGTAATCCGACTTTATTGGCCTTCCAGCTCCCACATAATGACATAGACACGTCTTATTAATTATGAAAGCTTGGCCTTAGCACAGCTCTGAAAACTTAAATTAACGTGTTTATGTTAATTTACACTCTGCCATGTGGCTCGTTACCTCTCCTCAGTACAGTACATCCAATTTCCTCTACATCTGGCTGGTGAATCCCCACCTCACAGATCCTTCCCAGAGTTCCTAGCTCTGCCTTGAAGTCCCGCCTATCCTCTCCTGCCTAGCTACTACTCATTTAGCTCTTTATTAAACCAGTCATGCATCTTGTCTGCACCCTCATTCTGGTTCTCACTTCCCCCACACCCTCACCTGCCTCTTTCACTCCTAATTTGCTCCTTAGCTTCCTTCTTGTCTCTGCCCATCAGTCCTCATCTTCATCAGTACCTGGTGATGCACCTCTTGGTCCTTGATATCTTTCCCTGTCTATCTATTCCTGTGTAGACCTTTGGTTCCCTGATTTTTTCTGTCTTCTTAACTCCTGCTGCCCCCCACCAGCACCCTGCCACATTCAGCTGCCTTCTCTTTCTTTACAAAAACAAACCTGGCCTCAACATCAATTAACCCCCATTTCTCATTTCTGCCTTCAGTTTTCCCAGTCCTTCTGCTAAGCTGGAGGTTCGCTTTGGTTGGCCCTCTTTCCCTTCCTGACTCCCCCTGGCTGCCCTGAAGGACACTGATGGCATGTCTAAGGCCCTTGCCTGGGAACCTGAAATGATGGCTTTCAGTGGTCCTTACCTATAACCTCATCTTCCTGATTGTGGCTGGTCCTTGCTTCGGTCTCTTCACCACCTGAGACAAACAATGACTTTTCCTGCTTTATATCTACCAGATGCACGGAACAGGGATAAATTTGGGTTCCCTGGCTTCGTACTTCTGCTCCTGGGTCAAATTACAATGAATGAATTATTTTCAGGGACTGAGGAGACAGTTCAGGCTGTGAAGTGTTTGCTGTATAAGCATGAGGATGGATCCCAGGGCATCACTGGCCTGTCTAGACTAGTCACCGAGGCCAAAAACGGAAAAAAAAAAAAAAAAAAAAAAAAGTGTAAGATAACTGCAAAGCATAAGACAGCAAGAGGTTGACCTCTGGCCTCCGCACACATGTTCATACCGACCAGTACACACAGAATTCACATCTAACTCTCTAGAAGATCATTTCGGATGCCATGATTGACCCTATCCCTATAACTTCACTCCCACCCTGTTCTCTCCCTTCTACCCACTGAATCCTTAGAGAGACAGTTGGTTTTGATATTCAAAGACAAAAGTAACCAGGCAAGGCAATACACACCAGCAGTCCCAGAATTTGGAAGGCTAAGACAGGAGGAATGTTAAGTTCAAGGGCAGCCTGGGATACATAGCAAGACCTTGTTTCTAAGACATTAAGTGAAGGAAAAATTAAAATTTAGCTGCAGTATAACATTCATATATAAAAGTGGGGTTTAAATGATTGTAAAGGAAAACTATCATTTGCATAAAAAAGAAGAACCGACACCCCAGAGGCCTCTGGGTGATACATTCTGCTGTTCTAAAGGACATTCTCAAAGTCAACCAGCATCTCCAGTTTCAATACCTAGATCATTTTTTCTACTTATGTAACCAATATAATGGAAATTATGACCATGTTATCTTTACTCTATTTTCAAATATTCCAAACACTCCCAGATTTATATGTGTACACATGTGTGTATATAACTAATATGTATATATTAGTATATATTAATATGTTTGTGAGTCTTTTCTGTATCATTATTTTTGTTGCTACAGAAATAGGCTGACTAATCTGGGCAATGGTGATGAACGACTTTAATCCCAGTGCTTGGGAGGCAGGGGCAGGTAGATCTCTGAGTTCAAGGTCAGCCAGGTGTACAAAGCACAGACAGGACTATGCAGAGAAACCCTGTCTCAGTTTTCAAACTTAGGAGATTACGTCCAACTGTTTCCCCAGATCACATGGTTTGGAGAAATAACAGAAATCAAAGAGAGCATAGCAAATGCAAGAACCTAAAGAGAGAAGTGTGGTGGGGTGTGGTGTTAGCCAAAGGCAAGTGAAGGGGCAGGAGCTTGGCTACCAAGCGTCATTGTCACAGCACGGTGCAGTCAAGTGCCCAGAGCTGCCGAAGGCATTGGACTCTTAGACATGCAAACTGGTTTGCACTTATTTTATTTTTACTTTATGTAGATGAGTGTTTTCCATGTGGCAGCTTGTGCATTCAGTGTCAGACAAGGTCAGAAAAGGGTGTCAGTGCTGGTGTTGCTGGGGAAAAAAAATGGAGATTCTGTATTTCCTGAGAGGATTGTAAATGCCTACAGCCAGTAGGGAAGAACAGTTTGCAGTTTCCTCAAAAACCCTGAAAACAGAACCATCCTGTGATTAGACATTCCTCTCTACTGCACAGGTATCTCAGAGAACTGAAATCAGCCTGCTAAAGAGGTGCCTGCACTTGTTACAGCTTAGCAATCTCCACCTGTGGAGTCAGCCTAAACAGCTGCCAGCAGCTGGGGAGAATGTGCGGTTCACACAGGATAGACGCCCAGTCAGCCTTAAAATGAGGGAGACAGCGTCAGCGGAGACGGTGTGAATGAAGAAAGAACATCACATGAAGCAGCCAGACACAGAAAAGCAAAAGCTACACGATTTCACTTTAGGCGCCATGTGAAAGGGTCTGAGTCAGAGAGAGTGAAGTCAGAGTGAGGATGGGGGCTGAGGCCACGGTGAACATAAAATTCCAGCCAGAAAGAACAAGCTCAAGACTTCCATTATACAACGTGGCAAGATTAACAGTATATTGAGAGCTGGAGAAATATTTGAGGTCATGCATTTTAAGCATTCTTACCACAAAAATGTATGTGATGTAGCCATTTCACAGTGAATATTTAAAACAGAGTCCTGTCCCTGAGGTTAAGTGTGTGTGTGTGGTGAGGCATGTATGCATGTGGGTACATGCGTGCATACGTGTGTGTGTGTGTGTGTGTGTGTGTGTTATATATATATATATATATATATGTATATATATATATATATATATAGAGAGAGAGAGAGAGAGAGAGAGAGAGAGAAAGAAAGATGCTAGGATTAAACTAAGGACCTCACACATGCTGGACAAACTTGCCACCACTGACCTACACTCCCTAGTATACATAATATTTCTTTCAATAGTCAATTTTGAAAATGGTTAGCATTTAAAAAAAAAAAAAAACAGACAAAGCAAGGCTGTACCAAACACATACAGAGCATCTGAAAATCAGAGCCAGGAAGATAAACACTAGTTACTTTCTTCATTCCAGGGCAATGGGCTGTGAGGCTCCAGGTACGGATCACTGTTACTCAGTTGGACTTCTAGTTCACAGGACTCTGAAGATGGAAAGGCCACAGGTGAGATCTCACAGAGCCTTGCTGTTTCCCAGTTTCCGTCTTCCTCCCTCACCCTGCTGCTCATGTCTTGTTTGTACCTGTAGTCCCATCTGCACGTATGGCCACTCCACCCTGGAAGGTATTTGCACTCTGTGACTCCCTAGACAACCCCTCTGATTCTTAGCTTCTCCTTTTCCCCAATAAGGCTTTTCCAACTCTTCACCTTTTGGGGTTTCTTTTCCAACTACTCCCTCCTCAATAGTGCATCAAGTTTCATCTTTGTCTCTTTGGGCCTAAATAGTTTTATTTATTGATTGATATATATATGTATATATATACATATATATCATATATGTATATATATCAGACCCCAACCCATTCCTCTGTTCCCACTCAGAGCCTCTCATGCTCTGTCTTACCCTCTGGCTCAGAATCTGGTCCTTGACGTGTGGTTGCTTGGTCTTCTGAGAGTCCATTTTCTTGTAAACTCATGACTAAAACAGAGTTTGTTTCATAGGATTTTATTCGCCCATTGCATCAGGATCCAATAGGAAAAGAGAAATCCCCCTGAGCCCTGAAAACAGAGACCCTGCAGCCTGAGCCCCACATAGGGCTGCGGGAATCCTGGACTCTGCTTTCTCTATTCTCCATGAGCTTTTGCAAATGGCTTCTTGCCAGGAATACTGTAGGAAGCTGGCTAGAAAGGGAAATTGTCATGGAAGACAGCAGTGGCAGAAGGTCAGAAGTAAGGGTCAGGGGCAAGCATGGGCAGGGTAGGGAACAAGTCCCAGAGCAAACAAATTCAGGATTGATATTCTGTCTTCTGCTACGGGTAACCTCCCTGATTCATGGGGGATTCTGTCTACTCAGCCCACTGTACTCTACTAACCTCAACGGTGTGTGAATGAATAATACATTATGTAGTATAGTTTCATGTTTTTCATTTAATATTTCCTACACAAATTAAGTTATAGAAACACATAGTTGGAAAGTTATAGAACTCTTAACATGGAATGCGGACCTGTGTTAGACCCCATGTCTTTTGAAGCCATGGGTTTGATTACAGTCCTAGCTGGGTCATGTGTGTTGGTATCCCATTGTTGACCCAATGGCCCATCTCCGTGGTGGGTTGATATTCTGTATATTCACCCATCCCTGTCACTAGCTTCATTAGAATATCATTTTCAGGTTGGTTTGCTCCAGACCACACAGACTCATGAAGAATTCACCCATTTCTCCTGCATCCTTCCTCCCCACTGTATCCTGGTCCCTCTTCTCATCACTAACCACAATCCAACCCGTTCATTGCTTCTTATTCCCACACTCTGTACCTGCAGAGGAACAATTAACAATACAGACTCTTGTATATTGTTATATTTTCAAATGTTAAAAGTTTTGAATGAAATATTGTAGTTATATAACAAATATTTCAAAAGTCACTCTGCACAGTTGTTAAGAGAACTTGCTGCTCATGTAGAGGACCTGGATATGGTTTCTAGAACCCATATGGTGGTTTACAACTTATTATAACTCCTGTTTCATGGGATCTTATACATTTTTCTGGCCTCTGAGGGCGCCAGGGATACATATGGTATAAATAGATAGAGAAAACACACACACACAGCAAAAACAAGTAAATCTTTGAAAGCATTTTTAAGTAAACTGTTAACTTTAAGAAATCTCTTCTTAAATGACATATCCCACCTGAAAGCCACACAGTCACCCTTCCAAAGTGCCAGATATGTGTTTCTAAACATGAGTAATAAATAAAGAAATAAATACTATTGCATAAATACCATTGTCAATCTGAAAGCTGGTGGACTGATGATTCTCAGTTTGATTTCCCTGGATGATGGTGGCATTTCTTCTTTCACTAATTCTCTGGCCTGAGGAATAATTGATTTAATAGTGACTATCCATGTTAAATATCCAGAGAGAAGAAAATCCCCATTTGATGGGATGTGAGAAGCTGAGATTCTGACACAAATGACACTGATAAGTGTATCAGTAACAGCAACAAGAAATGCATACAATGGAGATGAAGCACCAAACACTAGTATGGATGCTCTTCACGATGTCACTTGATGTCCATCTGGAGCATATACCACTGTCACATCCCTTTGTAAGAGATGACAGCAGGGCCGAGGGAGGCTAGATAACCTGTCTAGAATCACAGAGGCAGAATTTCAACACAGACATTCTTAATCTGCCAGGGTCTTAAAGCACTATTAAACCCAAACATTTAGTTGGGTGAAAAAATTAGATCCCCTGAAATGAACTTTGTATCTTGTGAAAAATGGGATGATACATCATCATTTTAAAGTTATTGAGAAAATAAATGCAAGAATACCTGTATCAATATATCAGAAAAAAATTATTATAGCTCATGCCTGAAATTTAGACTATTCTAAATAAGAGATAGTTTTAGCGTTTATTAAATTAAGGAAGGTCAAGGATTTAATTAAAATATCAAAGGGAGAGCCATGCCATGGTATGGCCTTTAATTCGGGAGGCAGAGACAGGTGGTTCTCTGAGTTCAAGGCCAGTTGGTCTACAGAGCCAATTTCAGGACTGGGAAGGGTTATATAGAGAAACCTTGTCTCAATAAAACAAAACAAACAAACAAATAAATACAAAAACAAAACATCAAAGGGCTTTTCCTCCAGTGGTCTATCTTATCTAGAGAGGGAGTTTCAACCTATTATCTTAGTGATGGCATAGAGGTACCATGTAAGAGGTCCAGTTGTGTCATGATCTTAGGAGCTGAACCCAAAGGAAAAAATTCATTACTCCATGGAAGGAACATGGCCATCATACCTCTCTACCCACCTCGGTACATAAAATCAGAGCATGTAGACTGTATCCAGTCAGCCAAGCAAGCAGAGGCAGAGAACTGTGAATTTAGGAATATGGGCAAGACATCCAGAAGAGGAAAACTTTCTAGGCAACCATGAGGACCAAGACCCTGATAATTTGAACCATGAACTTAGAGAAACTACTCACATGTGTGCTGGGTGGGTTGGTTTTGTTTTGTCAACAAAACAAGATAGGATCATCTAAGAAGAGGGAGTCAATTGAGAAAAATCTCTGCCTCCAATTGGCCTGTGGCCAAATATATGGGAGCATTTCTTGATTAATGATTGACATGGGATGGCCCAACCTACTTTGGGCAGTGCCACCTGTTTTAGGTTGTCCTCAGATATATAAGAAAGCAGGCTAAACAAGCCATGGGGAGCAAACTAGTAAGCAGCATTCCTCCATGGTGTCTGGTCCAGTTCCCGCCTCAAGTTCCTAACCTGTCAACCCTTCATGTTGGACTCTAAGCTGTAAGATAAGCTTAATCTTTTCCTCCATGGAGGAAACATGGTCATGGTGTTTCATCATAGCAACAGAAAGCTAACTTGGACTCATGGGATGAGACAGCAATGTTTGTAGTCAACAAGAACAGACCATCAGATGAGGAGGGATCTAAGGGTGACCAGGTCAGGCTTTGTTGAGAAGAGCTGTCATCACGTCCTAAGGAACAGAAATTAGATGTTTATTTCAGGATCAGAAACAGGCTATTCTCTTTTGTCTTTATATGATGCAAGAGTCGAAGGGTCCCTCAAAGCACAACCCAGAGACCCTCTGGAGCTGACAAGTCCCCCCGATCTTTGAGGTCAGACTTGGTGCACGGGAGTAGAGCAAAGAAAGGGTCAGCTCTAGCTGAGAGAAGTCCCACCTGGGCCACTCTACAATCAGGTGGTGACCTTGCCTAAAGGCTGCCTGAATGTGTCCCTACAGCTTCCCTGCCTGGAGGCCTTACCTGAGTTTCTAGCAGTCTTTGGAGCATTTCTCCTCTCACAAAACAGTCTCCCATATATATCTAAGGCTCGTCCCTGCTGGCCTTCTAATGTGAGTCCGTGATCACTTGCTTTAATTTCTTCCCATTCTTGCTATTCCTTTCTGTGTGTTCTCTCTTCGTTTCCCCCCACTTTTGTTTCATGTTTTTCATCCGATTTCCAGTACATGGTCGAGAACACAGCTTCCTCACCTTTAAACTTGGTACCTAAGTGATACCAATCCTTGATACCAGCTTGGGTAGACAGTAGCCAAAGCAAAAAACTAGCGTCACAGTTTCTGCTACTGTCCTTTAGACTTTCTGCTCTCTTTCATTTCCTTCCCTCATCCTTTCTCTGTCTCTCAAAGTTCTGCAGCCTGAGAGGACATGGGGAACTCTGATTTATGGCCAGTTGACCAGAAGCAAGAGTCACAGCCTGGAACTTGTACAGCAGCATTAGAAGTGTCTCAAGGCACTGAACCCTTTATCTGAATGTAATTACATCATAAGGCGCCCTGCTGCTGTCTGGAGAGTTGGTTGGTGTGGGAAAACCCCACTCACCGCACATCTGGTGTTGGAGACCAGTGTGTGTAAGGACACAAAACAGGAGCATCTCTCATAGAGTGTTATTTCTGAATAGCCAGTCTTTTTCAACCTGGAATACTGATGTTGGGCTCAGGTTACTTCATTTCGGGTACCAGGCTGACCATCTGTTGTCATGGTTGCTCTGCCAGGGTCCTGTATCCCACTAGAGATTGGTTAGTTTGGATCTCAAGTACAACCTCCTTCCAAGACTCATGTATGGGAGGGCTGCCCCTCAGAATGGCTCTAATGCATTATAGTGGTCCCTTTAATGGGCAGAGCCTAGTGGAAGGAAGCTAGACCACTGGAGGTGAAGCCTGGAAGGACCACATCCTCCCTTTCCTTGCTTCCTGGTCACATGACGTGACTAGCTTTGCTTCCCCCAATCCCTTTATTTGACTTAATGACCAAGCATAGGCCTTACTTAAGTCAACCCATCTGGGCTGAAGTTCCTAACATCATGAACCCAAATAAATTGACTTTTTGGGTAACTGTGTATCTGTTTTGTTTTTGAGAGAGTTTTGCTATGTAAAATTGGCTGGCCTCAAACACACAATCCTCCTGCCTCAGAGTTTTGCGTGTCCAGGTTCTCCAGGGTAATTTGTCCCAGTGCAGGAAAGCTAACACTAGGCTCACACCAACTCTCCCCGCTGCCTTCCCCATTTCTTCCTCCAGTCACACTCTGCTGATGATCACCTTTATTTCCTATTCTCTGTGGTGATAAGAAACTTTCTGCAGGTGTAATTACCTTGTTCAAGACTTAGCTGGGAGTTCGGGTCTCCTCTATCACTTTCGTGGGAACACAGTTTGTTCTGTAAGACTGAAATGGGAGAGAGAGGGAAGAAGAGGAGACTGTTAGAGATCTGTAGCAGAGACAAGGGGCAGCATTTCCAAATTACACATAAAGGAATTTCCAGACCCCCCCCCCACATCACTCCAACTTCAGTGGGTCCCACATGACAAAGTTCACCCATGATGCCCTGGGACAGAGAAGGCTCACAAGGGAGACTTTATGCTTTCCATACAGAGAGGAGACACTCAAGTTCAAGAATAAAAACTTCGAATACACACTATGAGCGGTGTTCCTCTTCCAGTGTTCAGAGGGCAAGGAAGGCATATGTCAAAACAGAAAAACACAGAGGCAAAACACGTCTTCCAGGCTGTCACAGTGTGAGAAGAAAGAGGGACTTTCCTGGGTAGACTGTCTGGGATCTAGCACATACTAAAGGGAGGCTTCATGATGGGCAAGCTTTAAAGATGAGCAGGATGGGGTTGAAGCACTGTCTCACACATTGTTGATTTCTATTCACATGTGGTACTAAATATCCTGCAACCCACAGCTGAGCTGTCACTCAGGGTGGACGGTAGTCAACCCGATGGACCGTTCTGTGTATCATCATCAGGGCTCCACTGGAGAGACACGGCAGTGCTCCGTCCTCTTCTACATAGCCTGATGCTGGTGGGGCTCTCTGTGTCCTGTCAATCTAAATCCCCAGCCTGGCAGACCTCTGGAGGGTGTCGACCACAGCTGTTAGACACAAGTTTTGTGATGATGCAAAACATGTTAGTTTTTCTTTAACTCCTATGTCCCCAATTGCACTGTGCAGTATGTAACGCATGGTAGATGCTTACTATATGGTTGTTGAGGGGGAAGAAAATTACCATTTTCAAAGCTTTGGAGAATGAGTTCCAAATCAGGGTATGCCCTCAAGTTTTCCTCACTGAACAGCACCCTCAGGACCACCAGGTCAAGTCTCTTCTCCAGCTCTTCCAGGGCTCTGTAGACCACTTTTTGTAAAGGGACCAGGTTTGAATAGGAATCTTGAAAATCCTTAAAAAAAATAGCAGAGAAAATTTAAGTGTTTGCTTCCAAGTCACAGCAGAGCCCTAAGAGACAATTACAGTTAGTGTACCTCGTCCCCTACATACATATCTTCTAGTGAAAAGTTTTATAGTTGCATGGTTACTTCATGACGTGAGTAAATATTTCTCTTTGAAAATACTCGCTATAACTCTGAGCTCCGTCCCTCATCTATATGACAAGTAAGAAGGGCCTCTTTTTTGTAAGGAAGGAAAACTAGGACTAAGGGTTAACAATGGGGCTGGTTAGATAGCTCAGTGGGTTATAGGCACTTGCCACCAATCCTGATGGCCTGAGTTCAGTCACTGGGATTTCGATGGTGAAAGTGGAGAGCCAACTTGTCACAAATTGTCCCCTGACTTCCACATGTGCACAGCAGCAGGCTCATACACATATGTCCTCACACACATATATTCATAAGTAAATATTTGTTAAATGCAATATTTTTAAGTGTGGAGGGACTGGAGAATTAGTTCATACTCGAGAGTACATGCTGCTCTTTCAGAGAACCCCGGTTCAGTTCCCAGAACCCACTAACAACTCACAACCACCTGTAACTCCACTTCCAAGGGATTTTCTGGCTAATATGGGCACTGGACACATGCAGGCAAAATACTGGTACACATCATAAAAATAAAAATAGGTTCATTCTTGAAAGACAAACATAAAGGTTAACTAACTTTCCACATTTGCCAAAGCTGTTCTACTAACTGGACAAATCCTGTCCTTCCACTACTACTGACTTGGCCTATAGGAAATGAGGTGTCCATTTCCTCTGACTGTTATCTCTACAGGAGGGCAACATATTCATAAGGCAAAAAAAAAAAAAAAAAAAAAATCCAAAGAGCATGGGGTGATGGCTCAGGGGTTAAGAGTACTTGCTGTTCCTGCAGAGGTTTCAGAATCTTGTGCTCTCTCTTCTGACCTCCATAGGCACCAGAAACACTGGTAGTGCATATAGATACATTTAGACAAAACATTCATACGCATGTAATAAAAATAAAGATGTATAAAAATTGTTCTAATAAGACACTCTATAGGTATTAATATTCTCAGATCTAGGGTTTCAAGATGGATGTTTATTAAAATAAAATGTGCCCACTGAAATATTTTATTAATTCAGTTCAATAAAATAATCCAACAGTATATTAAAATAACTTTTGATTTCTATTTTGTTCATTTCTTTTGTTTAGTTTTAAATGCATGAACTACATGTTGTGTGGTGCTTGAGACATTGCACACGTACGGAGAGGAGAGCCCTGTTCTGATCTGGCTTATCTTCAGCAATACTCACCCTGACTTCCCCTCACAGGACCATCTCCTGAGGCCTGTGCTTCTCTCCTTAAAACCTGGAGAGAACACTTCCAGAAACATTTATATGGTAGCTTTCTCTCACATAAAACCCAGATTTTAAACCTGAGTCCAGAATTCTGATTCATAATTGATAACGTTATTATTGTAGCTAGTATCTGTATAAAGTGCTATGAATTCTTTGTCAATAATTCTTTGTCAAAAACTAAGTCCTGGGCTGGAGTGATGCCTAAGTGACTGAGAGTATGTGTAGCTCTTGTAGAGGACCCAGGTTCCATTCCCAGAACCCCCCATCAGATGGCTCACAATTACCTGTGAACTCCTGTTCCAGGGAATTTGGAACTTTTTCTGGACTCTGTGGGCACACACACATATAGACACAAACATGAACACACACATGCATATGCACACACCACACATACACACACACATGCACACACACAAGCAAAGTAAGAAAGGAAATCTTTCTTTAAAAATTAAGTCCAACCTTAAAAACCTGACAGTCATCCAGTTTGATTCCAAGATCTCAAAGTGTAACTGAATTTGGAACTTGTTTACCAGGTTAGGATGTAACAAACTTCACTTACATCATACATTTTATTGGTGATGAGTTCATTGTCACGGAGGAACTCAAAAAAAGGGAAATGGCTTTTTTATTGCTGTTGAAATCTTCACTTTATTTTTTTTTGAAGTACAGGAATACGCGTTCAAAGGGTCTCCTCTCTGTGTCCTCCTGTTCCATGGACGTCCTGGAGGGAATAGCATGGGAAAATGGTTATCAGGACTATGGGAATACACACTTGGGGAAAATGTACAGTTTTGTATATGAAAGAAAGACTATAAAACAAGGCTTATAAACGGTACAATTTAAAACAATGCTGGTTTGCTGAGGTATTAAAGCTACACCTCCATGCATTCATACACAAGAATGTATCTTGCTGACAGACAGATTTTTGTAACCTAAGAGCAAAACCCTTGATAATGATTTTACAAAATAGTTTACAATGTTAAAACTTGGTTTTGCCTTATGAGTATATCTCAGGACTGCAGCTGAAAACTAGACATTGATACATTCCTCCCAATCTCCTTGCTTTTACTAACATTGGTAAGCTGTAACTGACTGGGTAAACTGTATGTCCAGATTAACTTATTAACTCTCAAAGTGAAGCCTAAACAACATTTGTCTAATTCAGGTATTCTTAACAGGTCATGATCATCTGATCTTCAAACACCTTCTGAGACCTGAGAATATGGCGTTTAATAAAAAGCTTCTCATCATAGGGAGACATGCCAGCTCCTGGCCACACCCCTATCTCCTCGGAAGAAGGATGGTCAAAGAACTCCCACCTGGCAAAGCAAACCATGCAGTGAGAAGCACTTTAAACAGCTGCCAAGACCCTGTCCAGACTGCAAGGACAGGACACGGGGAAACTGCCCAGCTTTGCCAAGTCCAAGTAGGTCATTCTCCCCAAATTCCTACCACACAGGTAAGTTCTTCTGGGCTTTCCAGCTGAAGACAAGTACTGCTTTCCAGACTTCTGTCCCCAACAACCACGGAGAGACCTGGGACAGTGACCTAGGTATCTGGAAAGCTGTCTTCCTTCTTCTTAAATCTATCCTTCTCAGAACTGATGGTGTTTGCTAGCTAGGGTACTGTCAGCCTTACCAGTTTAAGAGCTCTCCCTAACCACCTCCACCAAGGCTACAGCCAGCTTGGTAGCTCATTAGTTAAGTACAGACAGGTGCCAGGCAGTGCTGGCAAGCACCTTTAATTCCAGCACTTAGGAGGCAGAGGCAGGCAGATCTCTGTGAGTTCCAGGCCAGCCTGGTCTACAGAGTGAGTTTCCAGGAGAGGCTCCAAAGCTGCACAGAGAAACTCTGTTTTGAAAAACCAAAACAGCAACAACAAACCCAAGACAAACAAAACAGGAATAAAAGGTACAGACAGCTATGCATTGTTCACAGGCTTCAAGGTACAGGATAAGCAGGTTTCAAAGGAAACGTCAGAGATGCGGTGTTTTAGCATTGATGGATGCGGTTTTGATGAACTGATAAAGCACCGACTACAGAGTTCAGGAGTCCTTAAGTTTCTGTGGAGTTTACTGGCCCCAGCTTTCAGGGGCAGGTTAGCACTAGAGAATATGAGGAACTCTGCAGGCATGCTCCACTCCCTCCTCCTCCATTCACTCAACCTCTTTTGCTCAGTGAATTTAGACTTAAGGTATGCTTCGTCAGACTGAAACCAGGCCGTGAGTAAAGTGTTCATGCCTTTTAACCCAAAGCCATAGCCTTTTGCTGTGACACCAAAGTAAAAATCTGCTCCAGCTGTTTTACAAGTACCTGCATTTTCCTGGGAAAAGAGTGCCAAGCGCAACCCACAGGGGGCCCTCCCAATTTGCCAGCCCCTGCATGAGTTCTGAGGACACCAACTGGGCATGTACTGGCAGGCTGATTTCACCCACATGCCCACTCATAAAAGCTCCTTCATCTCCTGACTCCTGTCCTCCCCACCTCCAGGGGAACAGCAGATGTGATGACTCAGGCACTACTGGATCACATCGTCCCTCGATGCCAGAACTCCAGAGGCAGAGGCAGGTGGATCTCTGAGATCAAGGCCAGCCTAGTCTTCAGAGTGAGTTCCTGGACAGTCAGGGTGACACACAAGAAAGAACTTGTCTCGAGGACGTTTGCTCAACTATGTTCATAGCAGTATTATTCATAATAGCCAGAACTTGTAATCAACCTAGATGCCCTTCAGCCAAGGAATGAAATTAGGGAAATGTGGTATATGTACACAATGGAGTGCTACTCAGTGGTAAACAAACAAACAAATGAAATCTTGAAATTTGCATGCAAATGGATGAAACTAGAAAAAGCCATCCTGAGTGAGGTAACCCAGAAAGACAAATATAATATTTACTCATAAGTGGATGTTAGACATAAAGCAAAGGACAACTAGCCTACAGGCCACAACCCCAGAGAACATAGGTAACAGAGGATCCTAGGAGACATATGGACCCACCTAGGAAGGGGAAAAAGACAAGATCTCCTGAGTAAATTAGCAGCATGGGGGGAGGGCAGGGTGGGGGAGCAAGAAGGGGAGAGAGAAAGGGAATGGGGGGAAATGTATAGCTCAATAAAAACAAAGAGAAGAATGGAAGAAAAAAAAAAAAACTTGTCTCAAACTAACAACAACAAAAACTCAATGTGGAAAGACAATGACATTTTCAATTTTTAAACATGAGTAGTCAATTTGAAATAATTCTAATCACTCATTCCAATATGAAAGTGAAGTACAGATTTTTTTTTAAAAGACTATAAGGGTTCCAAGTTTCTGATGAATGGCTGAGAAGTTGTCAGCTAGTAAGCAAGCCTGGCACCTGGAAGACAAAGGCTAGGTAAAGATGGGAACATGGAGGCCGATTATAGAGTCACCTTGGCTCTGAACTACACAAATCAAGCAAGGGTAGGGGTTCAAGACAGATAAAAGATCATTTCTGAAATAGTGAGGAAACAAAATCATTTTTTAAAGTTAATGCTAGTGCAGTCAAGGAATGCACGAGCTTGGACGTTGGAGACCAGGGCTGGAGACACACGGTCTCCTGGACACACGTGGTGGGGTTGTTCAAGGCAAGAGGAGAAAGAACAGTGGGCTGGGCTGGAGAGATGGCTCAGTGGTTAAGACGACTTCACGGAAGAGGAGGAGAAAGGGATTGCAGGAGACACAGTGGTCAAAGACACTAGGAGAACACAGCCCACAGAACCAACTAAGCAGGGCTCACAGGGGCGGTAATCACAGCGCCTATCTGGTTCTGTGCTAGGCCCTCTACACACTCTGTAGAAGTTTATCCTGGGGCTTCCATGGAACCCTAACAGTGGGGAGTGGGGCCATCTCTGACTCTTGCTTGCTCGTGGGACCTTTTTACTCCTACTGGGTTGCCTCGTCCAGCTCCCATTTGAGGGTTTGCACCTAGTCTTATTGCATTTGTTGTGCTGTGTTTGGTTGCTATCACTGGGAGGCCTGCTCTTTTCTGAAGGGGAGCAGCGTATCTGGGAAAGAAGGAGGGAAGGGACTGGGAGGCATAGAGGGAGGGTACACTGTGGTCTGGATGCATTGTATGAGAGAAGACTAAAAGAAGAAAGAAGAAAGCACTCAACTCTTGCAGAAGGGGACCTGACCAAGGTTCTCAACCCCCACGTTGGACAACACACACAACTGCCTATAACTTCAGCTCCAGGGGGATCTGGAGTTCTCCTTTGGTCTCTCACACACCCACACTCACAGGTATATACTCACACAGACACGGGACCTTCCCTTCTCTCAAAAATAGAAAAGTAAAAATTTTAGTAAGAGGCTAGATACCTATATCAAAAGCTTCTAAAAAAAAGAATATGAGAATAACCTATGGGCCTCTATGCTTAAAAAAAATATAGTCAACCCCCAGAAACATGGCTCCACATTTGATAGCTGCAAAGGAAGTGTCCGGCTGACTCCACCATCTCCACCATCTGCAGCGGGAAAACAGACAAGCTAACAAGATGTTCTAGCATTGTAGGGCATGGAATGCAAAACCAGCCAGTTAAGAGATAAATAGGCTTCGATGGTTTTTCTTCTCAAGAACTTTAATTTTCAATCTGCCTAAAGCAAGAGGGTGCAAACGGGACACAAAGCCTTTGACGGTACAGCGTACAGAGAAGTGTTGACTGCCATGTCATTAAAGTTCCTAAATGTCCCCACCTAAGATCAGAGCAGATAAGAGCTCTAGCAGATCATAGTGAAGCCATGCAGATTAATCTTGACTCATTTCAGCTTCTGGCTGGCTAGGGTGATGCACACTATTATTGTTCTTGCCTCACAGAAGAAAAGAGGACTCTCTAAGTATAACACCTGGAGGATCCATGTACTTCACACATAATATCTGACATTCAATTAAAAAGAAAAAAGAGCTGATGGGCAAAGGTGCCTGTTGCTGAGTCTGACACTCAGAGTTCAACCCCAAGTTCCTAAATCATTGTTTTTATTTTATATATATTTATCTTACATGTATGGGTGCTTTGTCTGCACGAATGTCAGTGCATCACATGCATTCCTGGTACCCTTAGAGGTCAGAAAAGGGTCCCAAATCCTGGAAAATGGAGCTGCAGACTACTGTGGACCACTATACTGGTGCTGGGATTGAACCCACGTCCTCTGGAAGAGCAACCAGTGCTCTTCACTGCTGAACTATCTCTTCAGCTTTCTGATTTCTTGAACTTATAGAAGGTTTTAAGAACAAGGCTGGTAAAACAAAACAGAAGACAGAGCAATAGAAAACATCCAGTTGGTGTATAATGAAAAAAAAAACTGTAAATGAAAATAATTCAGGAAAGAACCTAAGAGCCAGTCTGAACGTGAAACTTCAATCCTAGAGAGGTAAACACTGACACACTTACTTGCATGAAAATGTCAGAATGAAACCACTTGCTCTCTATGATGGAAAGATAGCTCAGTGGTTAAGAGCCCTGACTGCTCTTCCAAGGACCTGAGTTCAATTACCAACACCCACATGGTGGGCTCACAGCTATCTATAACTCAAGTGTCAAGGGATCTGACACCCTCTTGGGCCATCTATGGACAACAAACACACATGTGGTACACTTACATACATGCAGGTAAAACACTCATACACATAAAATATAATTAATTTTTTTTTCAAAAGAAAAGGAAACTAATACTCTGTAAGACAATGGAATGAAGGAAGGAGGCAGGAAAGGAGAAAGGAGGGAAGACACAGAAATAGAAGGAATAAGAAAGTAATACATAAAGGGCTGGAGAGATGGGTCGGCCGTTAAAGGCTAGGCTCACAACCAAAATAGAAGAAAGCAATATATGGAGAAATAATGACTGGGGATTTTCCAAATGGACAAATGACATCAACCTATAAACTCAGGAAAGTCTATATGGGATTAATAAAATAAACGACAATAAAAAAAGACAGAATTCAATAAAAATGTAAGAGAAAAATCTCAAGGAGAAAAGCTCAAAAGTTCTTTCCAGAACTCAAGCCATAAAGTATGAAAAGGGGCTTCAATCAGTTGACAGCCATGAGGGCTGTACTGAGGACAGACTCAGGCAACTACTGTTTCCTCTCATCATTATTGAGAAAAACCTAACGTACATGGCATGAGCATTAGAAGAACGTGTTTAAATCATTGTAGACGTTAAAATAGCAGGGCTGGTGGGCGGTAATGGTACACACCTTTTATCCTGGCACTGGGAAGCAGAGGCAGGAAGGTCTTTGAGTTTGAGGCCAGCCCGGTCTATAGAGCAAGTTCCAGGACAGCCAGAGCTACACAGGGAAATCCTTTCTCAAAAAACCAAAGGGGAAAAACAAACAAAACAAGACAAGGGAGAGGAGACAGAGAAGCATAAGACTCAAAAATCAGAAGACTTGAGTCAGAGGCTAGAGAGAAAACTCGGTGGTTAGTCACTTTTTGCTCTTGCATAGAACCTGGGTTGGCTTCCTCACACACACATGGTGGTTCATAACAACCTACAACTTCAGTTCCAGGGGATCTGATGCCCTCTTCTGACATCTACGTGGTATAGGACAACAAGGACATTCATGGTTGTAGTGAGATACTCACTTTGTTTGCACCTGTAGCACTGACCACGCCCCATTGTGAGTGGGGACAGGGGGCGGATGTTACCTGGGGGAACTAGGTCTGGGGAAGGGGCCCCGGAGCCTTCTCTTGCTTGCAGCACGGGGACAGAAGAGCATCCGGAGGCATCCTTGGCATCAGGAACCTGCTGGTGTTCATCTGTCTAGGTTGTAAGTTATTTCTCCCTGAATAAACATCTATTCCACCTATTTGTTTCTCCAGATTCTTATTAAACCACAATACATGGTACATTGCACATAAATACAGGCAAAACACTGATATGTGAAGAGTAAAATCAATAAATCTAATTTTAGGGAAACAACTTTATACTTAAAAAAGAAAAAAAAAAAAAAAAAAAACCCAGCCATTTTTACATTTCAGGGTCTGACGAGTCTAATAGGTATTTGGAACAGAAACAGAAACAGAAACAAAAGACACACAGGATGGCAGTCTATTACCACTGTCAGAGACCACATCTATCTTCACAGTCAATGCCAGGAAGGGGCAGGCCCAGGCTGGAATTGCTTCTGATAAGTTCAGTGGTTTTCTCCAAGTTCTGTCAACCTGACTGCATTTTGAAGTGTTCTGTGCTGCTACAGCTTAGGGACAGCAAAAGAATCCCACAGATAAACATAGGATGTCCCAGTCAGTTTCCCATTGCTCTGAAGAAACACCATGACCACAGCAGCTCTTAACAAAAGAAAGCATTTAATTGTGGCTTGTTTATAGTTTCCAGAGGTCAGGTCAGAGAGCACCAGAGAGGAAGCTGATAGTTCTACATGTGGATCCGAGGGCAGCAGGAACAGGGAGACTCTCTGGGCTTAAAACCTCAAAGCCCACCCCCAATGACATACTTTCTCCAGCATGGTCACACCTCCTCACCCTTTCAAATGGGTACCATTCCCTGAAGACCAAACATTCAAATCTGTGAGCCCATGGGACCATCCTCATTCAAACCACCAGACTCAATGATGTCCTTAGAAACCAATAGGAATCAAAATGAAACCTTGGGCAGGAAACAGCCCAGATTACATCTTGTGGGAAGCTCAGTGTGGTGTGAGCTGCCCAGGTTCAAGGGTAAGCGAGGTGGACTGCAAACCACAGTAAGCATATAGCAAATAAAGGACAGGAGACTGGAAGACCCTGCCTGGAAGGAAGACCAGAAGACATTAGAAAACTATCCAAAAGCACCTCCTAGAGCTCAAGAACTGATGTAAATGGAGGGAAGATGGGCAGGAAGTTAACAAATGAAGCCTACTGAAGAGCTTGCAAAAGCATGCTGACAACCTAGGACTCCGCATAAGATGCATCTTCCCCTCCACCACAATCTTTCTCTTTCTTTCTTCCTTCCTTTCTTTCTTCCTTCCTTCCTTCCTTTCTTTCTTTCTTTCTTTTTTCTTCCTTCCTTTCTATCTTTTTTGTTTTTATTTTCTGTTTGTTTGCTTGTTTTTTTGAGACTGGGTTTCTCTGTTGCTTTGGAGGCTGTTCTGGAACTTGCTCTGTAGATCAGGCTGGCCTCAAACTCACAGAGATCCACCTGCCTCTGCCTCCCAAGTGCTGGGATTAAAGGCCTGTGCCGCCACCACCCAGTTCACAATCTATTCCTTTAAAACTTAGAAATTAGCTGATAGAGAGATGGCTCAGTGGTTAACAGCACTGGATGCTTTTCCAGAGGATCCAGGTTCAGTTCCCAGCAACCACATGATGACTCACAAGTGTTTGGAACTCCTGGGAACCTAACACCCTCTTTGTGGATTTCTGGGGTACCAGGCATGGTGTGTTGCCTGGACATATATGCAGGCAAGTGGTCACTTCGACTCAGTAACTACACTCTGTTTCTTTTAGACACAAGACTAATGTCATTAAGCAAAATGAATTACATGGCCGCTGGTTTTACATTGCGAACTGTGGTACTGACCTACATGTCTATCAAAGAAGACAGGTTTAAAACCCATAGTAAGGACTGGCAAGATGGCTCAGTTAATAAATGAGCCAGCAGCCAAAGCAGATGACTTAGGTTGGATCCCCAGAAACCAAAATGCAGAATGAAAGAACCAATTCCTCTTCATTGTCCCGACTCCTGTGACACATGCACACACATGCAAACACAAGTAAACATAAACTATGAAGCTCCCGGTTCATATACCAGTACTCTGAGCAGCAGGTAGCTGGTAGAAAAGAATAAAATAAATGTATGTGCATGATAGTGAAGACATCGATAAGGTTCCTATTTTTAAAATACTTCTAAGGCACAAAACACAGAACAATATTATAAAATCAAGATACACATTGCATATTTATGAAAACAAGTTATGCGCAGAAAAGCATAGGAAAAGATAAAAATGCTGGAGAGCTAAGCCAGCAATTAAGAGCACTGGCTGCTCACCCAAAGGACTAGAGTTCAGTTCCCAGCTCCCTTGTCTGGCAGCTGTCATACAGATGTCATGACCACCTGTAACACCAACTACAGGGGATCTGACGCCTCTTCTAGCTTCCAAAGGCACCTGACTGAATAGTTCTCTCTCTCTGTCACTGTCCCTGTATCTCTGTCTGTCTCTGTCTTTCTGTCTCTATCTCTCTCTCCCACACACATGCACGCATGTACCAAAGCACACATGAATTCTAGCACTCGTACACACACACACACACACACACACACACACACACACACACACACACACCGAGCGAGAGAGAGAGAGAGAGAGAGGCAGAGAGTAAATACCTTTTGGAAGATAAGGAAGATCCAAGCATCACAGTGGCGCACAACTTTAATCCCAGAACTGGGGAGGCAGAAGCAGGGGGATCTCTGTTGTAAGTCCCAGGCCAGCCTGCTCTACATAACAAGTTTCAGCACAGCCTAGACTATATTGAAAAAAAAAAAAAAAAAACACCAAGAATCCCTGTCTAATATATAAATGAAAGCAGACCCAAAGACTAGAAGCTCTGGGAGGGTTAAAGTGGTTTTTACCCTTTCTATATTTCCACAAGGTTTGACAGCTTATAAACCGCATTCCAGTATGAAACGGGCCTGGTGGTGCAGGCCTGAAACCCCAGTCACTCAGAAGATCAAAACAACAGGATCGCAAGTTCAAGTTCAAGGTCAGCCTGAGACACATAGCAAAACTTTGATTTTAAAATAGAGATTTATAGTCAAGCATATTCAAGGCCCTGGGTTCAGCTGCAGTACTGGAAAATGATGTCTGACTTTTTGCAGCAACAGACACAGACTGTGTTATTTCTGAGGAGCACATCTGAATCACCACTGCAGGAGCAGACAGAGCTCTACCGTCTCCTTGTCAGAGCTATCATCGGCCTAGGACAGGACACCAAAGTGAAAATAAAACCCGCAGCTTGTCCTGGCCTTTGCTACCAAGGGCCATTCCTCCCTTGGATCAAGATCTGAGAGTGAGGGCTCAGACCAGGGGTGAGCCTGGGGACAGCTTCCCAGGTGACAAGTCCTGCCAGAGAGGCAGGAGCCCGGGGTGGGGCAGGGGCAGCTGTCCGCCCTGAGCCTCTGCTGTTTGACTTTCTTCCCTGGGCTGACTGAGAGAAAGCAGAGAGGCAGAGGGACTGACAACACCCAGGGCTCCTGAGATAACAGAGCCATGTCACAGAGGTTCCCAGGAGTCCCTGACAGCTGTGGCCACAGTCTGCTCCTGACAGCTGGCAGTGGTCACAAACAAGAAAGTTGCAACTGTGTGCATAATGGCAAGCTGGCCTTGCCCACAGATAGCTTACTCTGTTTTAAAAACTCCAGGTGTTCTCTGCCTCTCTCAGTCTCTCTCTCTCTCTCATCTCTCCTAACTACAGTTCAGAGCTTCTTCATGTCTGTGGGTTTGGACTGACTGAAGCTGCAGCCCCGCTCAACTCAAGACAGGAAATCACCCAGGTTGTCAGAGGGCAAAGTTAGAGAGGGAGAGAGACCCACCTGCTGCTGAAGCTGCTACCTTTCCTCTTCCAATCTCCTGCCAGGGGCCTGGGAGGGAGAGCTCAGATCCCTGGGTGTCCTCGCAGGCTTCCAGACTGCGTGGTCTGGCCCACAGCTGAGAGCAGGAAGTCAGCCTGAAGTCTAACTCACTCAGGAGGGCTCCGCCCTGATGGGGAAAAGAGAAATGAAAGTATTTCTGTAATCTCAATGTGCTGCTATGAGACACTGTCCTTTCCTTCTTTCCCCAAAATGTATTGGCAAGGAGGAGGAGAAAGGGGGGGACCTAGAGGATTGCAAAGGGGCACTCCAGTGACAAGCATGGCCACTTCCTGGGGAGTAACCCTCGTTTATAGGGAGATGGGGGGGGAACCAAAGCAACAACAACAGCAACAAAATCCCTCCCCTCAAACCCAAACCGTTCTCAGTTACTCCTGTGTCTAAGTAAGCAGAGTTTGTCCAGGATTGCCTGCCATCGTTTTTGGTGTTGTCTCTGGATGAAGTGGCTTGGGTGGGAGAGAAGTGGAGAGGGAGAGGCAAACTATTCCAAGTTATCTCTCAGGCTAGCAGGAGAACCAAGAGCTGAATGTTGACCAGGAGAAGCTATCCCTCAGACCTGAAGAGAAGCTAGGGTGGAACAGGGAGATGCCGCCCCTGAGAGACACCTGGGTCACAGCATTCTCTCTGAGGACTTCTCATTCCAGCTTGTAGTCAAGGGTGTGAGGAAGCTACCACAGTGGCCGCTAGGACAAAGAACTTGTCCACCCTTCTGAGATGTGGACCTGGGGAGAGATGGGCAGACTGAGATGTGGACCTGGGGAGAGATGGGCAGACGCCTCCAGGGGAGTCCTTCTAGGAAGCCCCCAGGGACATGAGGACACACCAGCTCCCTCTCTTCCTCCTGGGAAGACTTTTCTCTTGGGAACTTGGAGGACTGGGGTGAGCCTCACCCTGTCAGGTCTCCCAGCAGGCTCCCTGCCTGCACAGACCATGGCTCTACTCTCACCCATTGGCTCAAATGCACAGGGATAGGCTGGCATGGGGCAGGAGTGGGTGTGACTGGCAGCAGAGCCTGAGGCCGTGCCTGAGCTTAGAGTTCAGGGCTCCTTCCATACACTCACATCTTCGCCAGGCCTCCAATCTACTTCTAGCAGGAATAAAACATTCTGAAGCGTACGGGGGTCTGTGCATGCGGCTGATGATACCAGAAGACAGTGGGGATCCCTGGAGCTGGAGCTAAAAGCAATTGTGAGTCACCAGATGCGGGTGCTGGGAACCAGACCCAGGTCCTCTGTAAGAGCACACTGCATTCAACCGCTGAGCCATCCCTACCCCTAAATGGTATTTCGATTCCCATGTTGTCTCTTCCTTTTGCCTATCTGTCAGATGGTTTAGAACCAAGGCTTGGGAAAATGATCAAATTGGGGCCATGAGTCCCTAACCCTGTTTAAGCCTGAGCTTGTTTCTTTTTCCAATTTCCCTTCTACCTGTGAACCAGGTGAGTACAGAAGCAGGAAGCCCTGGCAATCCATGACCATGATGCAATTATCCCCAGGCCTGATGGACTCTGGGTAGTAACCTTTGGACTCTGAGAGACTGCTGAGACTGAGTCAAAACAAGTAACAGCCAGACAGACCTCTGCCTAAACATCACAGAGTAAGGTAAGGGGGTGTGAAGCTTTGAATGTCACAGTCATCCAACTTTGTGAGATGCTGGGGAGACAGGAGGAAACATGAATATCTCTACTAGGGAAGTGAGAATGGGAAGAGATCCCAAGACAGTCCAGGAAGAGGTCAAGGACAAGGACACACAGGAGACCCACCTGGCCATCTCCTGAAGGTCTGAGGACTATCCATGAGAAACACCTTTGAAGAAGCCCAGGTCCTGATGATGCTCAGGAGGATGCAGGATGCTGGTCCAGGGCCCCATGTCGGGGGAGTCCCCACCCCCTAGTCTGCATCACCACCACAGCCCTTCACTTTAGCGTCTGTGTCAAGTGGACAATGACAGAGAGTCCCTGTGTCCTGTATACAGTTGTGAGACCCAGAGACTCTGCAGCCATTGATGCCTTCCCTCCACTGAGGTGACCACACACCACACTGCAAGGCAAGAGCTGAGACTTTCCTCCTTCTCCTCTCCTTATTATTGTTATTGTTATTTATCCTTTCTTTTTATATGCATTGGTGTTTCCCCCAGCATTTATCTCACTACGAGGGTGTCAAATACACTGAAACTGGTGTTATAGTCAGTTGTGAGCTGCCATGTGGGTCCTGGGTATGGAACCCTGGTCCTCTGGAAGAGTAGTTATTGTTTCTAACTATTGAGCTATCATCACTATCTGAGGGCAGTAGCCACTTTCTGGCCAGGGTACCAACTAGGTCTACACAACCTCCTCAAGGAGGAGCTTAGAACCCCCCGCCTCCTAGTCTGTCAGGGGTAACTCCTAGGAGGTCGGGTGCATAGGGAAGAGCATATGGCCCCACCCACTTACCCCAAGGCAGCTCTGGCAGGACACCATGAAAGGCCTCCCCTTCCCTGAATACCTCACACCCAAGTTTCTATCTACAATATTGGCACGATTTGAAAGGAATCTAGAATACTTGGCCTTGTGTTAATCTACAGGGGAAAATAAGACCACTGCCATAATTTTGAGCCCAGTTTGAAGCAAGCTTTCATTTAATATGGGACAGGATGATGGACCCTACCAGGCCCATTTCTGTGTTCCCAGAAAATAACAAAGAGTCACATTTTGCAGAAGCTTAAAAATGTGTCTCAGTTTGCGGAGGCTTAAAAAGGCAACTCCATAGGGCAACTCCCATCATGTCCAATCAGGGGCAAGCATACATCCTGACATATTTCATGCCTACATACCTCCAGACCACATGTGATCAAACACATACATTGCAGTTGGGTCAAACAAACTTGTTTAGAGGATTGAAAACTGTGGCTTATTATGTCCATAAAGAGCTTCCAGCATTTCAGGAAGTACCTTATTATTGTTATTGTTATTTATCCTTTCTTTATATGCATTGGTGTTTCCCTGCATTTATCTCACTACGAGGGTGTCAAATACACTGAAACTGGTGTTATAGTCAGTTGTGAGCTCATGTGGGTCCTGGGTATCAAACCCTGGTCCTCTGGAAGAGTAGTTATTGTTTCTAACTATTGAGCAAGGGTTAGAAACGTTTGAGTTTCTAGGATCTATTTGTCACGGTAATTAAAACAAAACATAATTTTGACTGTCACACTTGCCAAAATGAGCCAACACTTCAACACACAATGGGGCTTAGAAGGGAGCTGGGATGAAGATTTCAGGAGAGGAAGCCCCAGTTTAAGGCAGTCCTGGAAGAGGGTGCATGTCAGATAGAGACTGCAGATCAGGAAGTCTGAGCACTCCATGGAAAGATCTGGCAGGCACTGGGTGGGCAAAAAATGGTTCTGGGGTCTGGGGGCCCATTCTGGGTCAAGACTGGTTGGGTTGGCAGTTACCTACCAAGTCCTGCTTAAGCCAGAACTGGAAGGCTTTGTTACCACAGAGGGAGCACGTGCTATAATGGCTCAGATGGCAAGCAGTCTGTGTACAACGGACAAGGCTTTGTTCTCAGTCAGATGGAGTTCCATTTGCCTGACATCACCAGGCCCTTGGCTTTCTCTCTCTGAAATTTCCCCTTCACTCCCAAGAAATCCTGGTTGATCTGGGTTTTGTTTGCTCATTTATTTGCTTTGCTTTTGTTTCTCCATGACCCTACCCCCAGAAAGTCTCCTACCAAAGTTCAGTCTGCCATGAACGAGACTGTGGCTGCTGAAAGGTCAGGCAGTAGGAAGCAGGAGGTTGATTCTGGGCCAGCTGCCTCACCAGTTCTGACTTCTTTCCAAAATCCCCGAGGCCCCAGGCCGTTCGGTTTTTGCACAGCATCCAGAATCACTACCCGAGTAAAAGCCTACTTGTCAAGTACATCTTTAAGAACACTAAGCCAAGCTTTTTTATTTCTCATAGAACAGCAGCATGGGAGTCCTGGTCATTCCTGTACCCAGCCTGGTCCTGGAGTCATGAGAAGTTCCAGACAAAGCCATCTGAGAGTCTTCACCCACTCAGGGGACAGATGCGCCCTGCCCAGTAGCATGAGACATACCCATGAACCCATCTACCCATGGCCCCAAGTAGTCATAACTTTGGATACTGTGGGCTATGGAATAAAGATGCATTTTCTCATCCATCATTGGCCTCATATTTGATGAGGCCCAGTATTTGATGATTCCCAGACCCAACACAGCCTTCTCTCAGTCTCCTGCTGTCTATCCTGAGCACATAACTAGATAAGAAATCATAGTCTACCAGGACTAGAGAACTCGACCTAATAGTTTTGGGCATCAGGGTATTGGGAAGCTCACAGGGTCATCCCCATGATGTGTTCCATGGGAACAACCAGAGCAGTTGTTCTCAACCTTCCTGAATGCTGCACCCTTTAATACAGCTCCTCATGTTGTGATGACACCCAACCGTAAAATTATTTCATTACTACTTCACAGATGTAATTTTGCTGCTGTTATGAATTTATAATGTCAAATATCTGATGTGCAGGATATTGGGCCTCTAGTGAAAAAGTCACAACCCAGAAGTTGAGAACCACTGAATTATAACATATCTCCTGAGCTCCTGATGTAAACTGTTTGTTTTCAGTGCAGCTGATACTGAGGAGTGGGAAATTCAGGCTAGGGGTCATTCATGAGAGACCTTGACCACTCAGTTCCCGACAAGCAGGCCCCTCCAGTAGCTCCAAGGACTTCACAATCAGCAAAGTAAGCATACATCTGGGATCTGCAAGCTTGCAACAAACACCTAAATCCCTGAATTTAGGAAGGATGACTAACAGCTTTAGTCTCCTTCATTGCTATTGACTATCCTGTCCAGTAGAGTAGACATCTTCCTTCTAGAACAATGACCAACTCAGCCTTGCCTCTACAGCAAGGGCAATGAAACAGTGATTCTGTTCCAGCAGACTGAGAGTTTAGCTGCTGGCTCTTCATCCTTCA